CTTCTCCTGAAGGAACTGACTTCATTTGCAGTAGAGCTGGAGACGTTCAAACTTAAGAGTATTTTCAAAAATAGTGGAGGTTATGGTGAAAGGCAGAGGTAGGAGATTTGTAGATTCAAGAAGATACTGGCTAAATTGCAGGCTAGCTAGTTTTCTGGAAAGAACTGGAATAAGATACCTGGAAGGAGTCTTCCTGGGGCCAAAGCAAATTTCAAAACCTGACCTCTGGAACTACTTTAAAGGAACATGAATTTGATTGGATTTCTTTGTAGAGCAATTTATGCCTGAGACCATTGTTGAGAACAATAGAGTAATCAGCTGGCAATGATTAGTGGAGGTTAACAGCTGGGAGTTAACAGGGAAAGAAACAGAGCCTTGCCAAACTACTGTCTTGGCAAGGAGGCTGTGGGCATATTTAGGCTATCCTCCCTGAGGATCAACATCAGAGGCTTAACACTGCAGGGAGGGGTGTGAGGATGAGAAAGTAGTCTTCTTTAAAATAACCCAGCAAGTTACTTAACAAATAAGCAACTAAAAACAAAGAAACCTGTGTGAGGTAACCAGAGTTGCTACAAAACATTATATAAAATATTGAATTTCCAGTAAAAAGTTATGACATGCAAAACAAACAAATAGACCAAAAAAGCAGGAAAGTATGTTTAATACACTGGAAAAAACGGACAGCAGAAACTGCCTGAGCCTGACCAGTGTGGCTCAGTGGTTGAGCGTCAACCCATGAACCAGGAGATCATGGTTTGATTCCTGGTAAAGGGCACATGCCCAGGTTGTGCACTGATCCCCAGTAGGGGGCATGTAGGAGGTAGCCGATCAATAATTCTCAATAAAAACATTTTTAAAAAAGTTTTATAAGGACTAAAAAATATCATGCAAACAAACACAAGAAAGCTGGAGTGGCTATACTAGTATCAGAAAAAAGTGGACTAAAACAAAAATGATACTAGAGATAAAGAGGGACATTTTATACAAATGAAAGAGTCAACTCACTAGAAAGATAGAACAGTTCTATGTGTACTTAATAAACAGCACAAAATACATGAAGCAAAAACTGGCAGAGAAGGAGAAACAGATAATTCAACAATAATGGTTGGGAGACTTCAATATTCCACTTTCAAAAATGGATGAAACAACTAGGTGTAAGGCCAACAAGGAAACAACAGTATAAACCAAGTAGACCCAGCAGACATCTATAGACCACTCAGCAACAGCAGAATGTACAGGGTGGGCAAAAGTAGGTTTACAGGTATAATACAAATTAAGAATACAATCATAATACAAGAATAAGCTTTGTTTCACGTACTCACAACTGTGAACCTACTTTTGCCTACTAGGCCACAGAACAAACCCTAATAGATTTAAAAAGATTAAACTTTAAAATAGCCCTAGCCAGTTTCGCTCAGTGGTTATTAGAGTGTTGGCCCGAGGGCTAAAGGATCCTGATTCCAGCCAAGGGCAGGTACCTCAGTTGCAGGCTCAATCCCTGGCCCTGGTTGGGGCATGTGTGGGAAGCAAACAATCAATGTGTCTCTCTCACATTGATGGTTTTCTCTCCCTCCCTCCTACTCTCTCTGAAAAACAATGGGAAAATGTCTTCAGGGGAGGATTAAAATAATAATAAATAAGTGAAGAGATTAAAATAATACAAAGGATGTTCTCTGATGACAATGTAAAGAAATTAGAAATCAGAAAGAAATTTGGGGAAATCATAAATATGTGAAAATTAAAGAACATACTTTTGAATAAACCGTGGGTCAAAGAAGAAATCAAAAGGGGAATCGGAAAATCTTTGAGATAAATGAAAATGAAGTTACCACCTAAGGAAACTTATGGGATACAACCAAAGCAGTGCTTAGAGGGAAACTTCTACCAATAAATGCCTATATTAAGAAAGAAGAAATGTTCTGGCCAGTGTGGCCTGGTTAGAATTTCCATATATCAAGAGGTGGTAGATTCAATTCCTGGTCAGGGCATATTACCAGGTTATGGGTTTTATTCCCAGTTGGGACGAGTATGCGAGGCAACTAATTGATGTTTTTCTCTCCCTCTTCCTTCTTCTTTCTAAAATCAATAGAAATTAAAATGAAATAGAAAGCAAAGTTCTGGAATCAATAACCTAACCTTCCACCTTAAGTCACTAGAAAAAGAAGAGTAAAGTAAATCTAAAGCAAGCAGAAGGGAGTATATAATGAAATTGGAGTAGAAATGAATGAACTAGAGAAAATTAAAAGCAATAGAGAAAATTAAGGAAACCAAAAACCCGTACTTTGAAAAGGTCAACGAAATTGGCATACCTTTCGCTAAATTGACATAGAAAAAGAGAGAAGATTCAAAGTACTAGAATCAGAAAGGAAAAAGGAAACATTACTACTGACCTTACAAAAGTTGAAAGGATTATAAAGGAACACTTTGAACAACTGTATACTAATGAATTACATAGCTTAGATAAAATTGATAATTTTTTAGAAAAATAAAAAGTACTAAAACTGACTTGGGAAATAGACAATCAGAATAGACCTATAACAGGCACAGAGATTGAATTTGAATTAATCATAAAGTTACCTACAAAGAGATGCCCAGGCCCATATGACTTTACTGCTGAATTCTACCAAACATTTACAGAAGAATTAATACTATTTCTTCACAAACTCGCCCCCAAAATTGAGGGAGAACACTTACCAACTTATGAAGCTAGTATTACCCTAATAGCAAAGACGTCACAAGAAAACTGCAAACCAGTATATCTCTTATGAATATGAACACAAAATCCTGAACAAAATACTAACAAGCTAAATTCAACAGCATGTGAAAAGATTTATATACCATGACCAAGTGTTATTTATCCCAGAAATGCAAGGTTGGTGTAAAGTTCACAAACCACTTAATGTAACATATCAGTGAAATAAAAACAAAAGTCACATTGTCCTTACAATAGATGCAGAAATGATAAAATTACTCAAAAACGGACTAGAAGGGAGCTTCTCAACATAATAAAAGATATCTATAAAAATGCAAAGGTAAAATCATACTTAATGGTGAAAGACTTGGAGACATCTAAGATTAGAGTTAAGACAAGATTGTCTGCTGTCTCCACTTCTATTCAACATTGTATCGGAAATTCTAAACTTGGTAATTATGCAAGAAATAGAAAAGGCATCAAGATTGGAAAGAAAAAAAGCAAAATTATCTCTGGCAGATGACATGAGCCTATATGTGGAGAATCCTAAGGATGCCACTAAAAAATTATTAGAACTAAGTTGAGCAGGGTTGCAGGATACAAAATCAGTATACAGAAATCAATTGTATTTCTTGTTATGAACAATTCAAAAGTGAAAATTAAGAAAACAATGCCATTTACAATAGCAGAGAGATTAAAATACCTGGGAATAAATTTAACAAGAAGTATGACAGTCTGAAAAGTACAAAACATTATTGAAAGAAATTAAAGAAGATCTAAGTAAATAGAAAACATCCCATATTGGTGGATTGCTAGATTTAACATTGTTGAAGTGACAGTACTCCCCAAATTGATTTACAGATTCAGTGCAGTCCACATCAGAATCATAGCTGACTTCTTTGTAGAAATTGACAAACATTCTAAAATTCATACGCAGTTGTAAGTTATCCAGAAAAGCTAACAAAATCTTGAAAAGAATAAGATAGGAGAACTTACACTTCATGAATTAAAAATTTATTACAAAAATGTTCATCAAGACTGTGAAATTGGCACAAGAATACACATGCAGATAAATGGAATAGAATTCAGAGTTGAGAAATAAAACCATGATTTTCAACAACTATGCCAAGACCTTTCAATAGAGAATAGTCTTTTCAACAAAGGATACTAGAACAACTGGGTAGCCAAATGCAAAAGAATGAATTTGGGTCCTTACCTCGTACCATATGCAAAAATTAATTCAAAATGGATGAGAGACCTAAATAAGAGCTAAAACTTTAAAACTCTTAGAGGGAAACTTAGGGTTAAGAATCCCTAAGTATGCCACTAAAAGTATGAACAACAAAAGAAAAATTAGATTAACTTGGACTTTATCAAAATTAAGAACATTTGTGCTTCAAAGGACACCATCAAGAAAGTGAAAAGGCAACCTATAGAGTGGAAGAAAATATTTAAAAATCATATATCTGATAAAGGACTTTTATCTAGAATATATAAAGAACTCTTACAACTCTGAAAAAAGACAACCCAATTTGAAAATGGGCAAAGAATCCGAATAGACTTTTTTTAAATGGAGGATATACAGTTAGAAAATAATTTTGTGAAATGACATCTAGCCCACTAGGATGGCTAGAATCAAAAAGTTGATAGCAAGTGTTGGCTAGGATATGGAGAAACAGTCAGCACTTACATGCTGGAGGGGATGTAAAATGGTGCAGCCACTTTGGAAAAATAGGCAGTTCCTCATATGATTAAACAGTTACCATATGACCCAGCACCTAAGAGGTATGAAAACATCTACGCCAAAACTTGTCCACAAATAGTTATAGAAGTATTAATCATAATAGTAAAAAAGTAGAACCCAAATGTCTATCAGCTGATGAACAGATAAATATAATGGGGTATATTCATACAGTATGATATTATTCAGCCATAAAACGGAATAAAGTACTGATACCTGCTGCAACATGGTTGAACCTTGAAAATATTATGCTAAGTAAGTGAAAGAAGCCAGACAGAAAAGATCACTTGTATGATTCATATGAAATACCTGGAATAGGAGTGATAACTAATGGTATAGGGTTTCTTTTTGAGGTGATGAAAATGTATTTAAAAATTGACTGTGGTAGTGGTTGCACCTAGCTAAAAACCATTGAATTGTATACTTTAATAAAGCTGTTAAGAACAGTAATCATTTCTGGTATCTCTATGAAATGGACCTGGGCATGTGTACATGTAAAAGGCTGAGCTGTTAGAACAGAGCTCTTTACAGTAAGCTAAGCTCATCTGTTTCCTCTTATTTTTGTAGAAATCATGACTACCCCAGGAAAAGAGAACTTTCGCCTGAAAAGTTATAAAAATAAGTCCCTGAATCCTGATGAGATGCGCAGGAGGAGGGAAGAAGAAGGACTGCAGCTACGCAAGCAGAAAAGAGAAGAGCAGGTAAGTTCTTTATTATTAATTCCTTTTAACGAACTTAATGTTCCATTTTAAGCCTGAAACCATTTTCCATTAATTTTAACAATGTTATATCTGTATCTGTATCTGTATCTATATATATCATCATCTATATCATCTATATCTATCTGTATATACATGTACATATATATATATCCCACAGACACACTATCAAATCAACATATTTGGGGGTAGGGGAAAAGTGAAAAACAGGAATGAAGAAATCTGTTCGGTTCTCATTTTCCCACTATAACCACTGTTTATACTTTGGCCTATTTGTTTTTAGTGTATTCTGTTTTTCTAAAGTTGTAACTTTCTTAAGACTTTATGTGCATTTGTTAATGAATTCTCAAGTGGCCAACAAAACATTGCTTTTCATTGTAAACCTTATTTGAAACTTGGTAAACCTGTACACAGGTAAAGAGCAAATAATTAAGTTCATAAACCTATCCTCTGGGTTCAGTAATTGTTAACAGTTCGCCTTACTTCATGTCTGTCTGTCTCTACATTTCTTTATTATGTAATATTTTAAAGCAGAGCCTAAGGAATATGTCTTTTCACCCTTAAATTGATTTTGTATTATTCAGAAGTACATGTAGGATATTACTTTTTAAAAAAAAAAAATATATCTATTGATTTCAGAGAGAGGAAAGGAGAGGGAGAGAGAGAGAGAGAAACATCAATGATGAGAGAGTCATTGATCGAGCCCGCAACCCGGGCATGTTCCCTGACTGGGAATCGAACCCCGATCGCCTGGATCCTAGGTCAACGCTCAACGGCTGAGCCACACCCGGCCGGGCGATATTACTTATTTTTAAATTTTGAGTTAATTTTATTTTTAAAAATACCGGGTGTTGCCCGGCCAGGCGTGGCTCAGTGGTTGAGCGTCAACCTAGGATCCAGGTGATCGGGGTTCGATTCCTGGTCAGGGCACATGCCCAGGTTGTGGGCTCGATCAGTGACTCTTTCATCATTGATGTTTCTACCTCTGTCTCTCTCCCTCTCCTTTTCTCTGTCTGAAATCAATAAAGATATATTTAAAAAAAAAAAAAATGCAGGGTGTCCCAAAACATATATACACACTTTAACAGCTGGAAACTCACTTAAAATTTTCACTCCTTTTCAGGTTTAACTGATTTGAAATAATGGATGAAGCCAGACTAAGCTTTGAACAAAGAAAATTTATCCACTAGACTTTTTAATTGGGATGCATACATAAAAGATAAAGTTTACAGTACAAAACGGGCAACAATTGATGAATTGAGGGCTCACAAATACTGAACCATCATTCTTGATTTTTCCAATTCCATTGCTTCGTGCTATCAGCAATGCCTGGACCAGAACGGTCATCAGTTTGAAAACAGGCATTGACAAAAAAATTACTCATTTCTGTAGGTTCTTTTAAAGTTTGAAAATGAACTGTTTTTAATAAACACTGACTTTGTAATCATTCAAAGCGTGTGTACAGTTTTTTGGGACACCCTATATATTTCCCAAAACCCATCCTCTGTTATTGATGGCTACTTGAAGTGTTTCTTCCACTCTTTCCATTGTAGAATATTTAGGGAGATAGAGGACACTAAAACATGTCTGTGCACTTATGGAATCTTTTTCATTTAAGTTTTCAGGACTGCAAAATGTTTTTATGTTTTTTAAAACTTCTACTTGAGTTCTGTCATTTCCTGTAAGAAACTCAGGAAATTTTATTTTCCTCTAAAGTCATTTTGTGTAAAGCCTTCCAAAACATCACTGTGGTGGGATGGGAATTGTCATATCCTTGTTCATAATGTGCATTCTTTTCAAATGTTTCCCAGTCATAATCTGTATTTCCAGTAATCTTTTATTTCCTCAGGATGGAAAAGAAAAATTCAGTAATTTCCTTGTCACACAGCTTGTTAAATCCTTTTTGAAATTCTTCATAAACGCCTTTACAGAGATGTTGGAAATATATTTGGCATAGGTAGAAATAGTCTGTCCTGTTAGTCTGGACGACAGTTATGCAACTTCCATTCGGAATTAAGTCATTTTTATCCCAGTGCATATTAAAATGGATATAAAATACTTCTCCAAAGTCAGCACTGTCATCATCCGGAAGTGTTAGCAAACTCTTTCTGAAAACAGGACTGCGTTCTTTCAAGCCTTCCAGTCCTGGTGTTTGGTAGTACGTTATTTTTAAAAATCATTTTAACCTGAGAACATCTACAGGAGAATCTGGAACTCACCGTCAGTTTACCTTCCTCTAAAAATGCTTAGGACAAATCGTCCATCACTTTCTGCAAAGAAATTTAGAGACATAACACTTAGAATACTTAGGTGACCTTTTTTTTTTCTTCTTCTTTTTTTCCCCCTGCTGCTAAGGAGAGACTTTTGAGCTTGGAAGGACCATTTGACCCCCACACTACAAAAGCTCAGTAAAAGGCAAATGAGTCAGAACCATTCATACCTGAGAAATAAGGTAGTCTTTCATAAATAGTTTGCAGTTATAGTGTGCTAGACCTGCACTACAAGCAGTGTTAAAGGGTGTCCTTTAGACAAAGTAAAATAATACCCTACGTTACTTTGACACAGATTCTAGATATCAAATTATTTTATTTATAAATATTTCAGTAAGTATCTCTAAAAGATAAAGACTTTGGAACTTAAACCAGAGTAGTGTTATTGTACCTTAAAAAGTTGACAGTTCTTTAACATCAAAGCACCTAATCAGTAGCCATCAGTTTTTCACCTCAGGCTTTAGCAACCTTTGATGGTCATTGCCTAGATCCATTACTAAATCATTAAATGACCATTGCAACGATCATTCCTTCTGCTTTTATTAGCTGGTAGGTCACTCAAAAGAAGACCTTTTCCTCAATAAGTGTTTGGTTTTCCTGAATTACCTATCATACAGGAAAGAAATACTTTGATTCTTTCCCTTGTTTTTAAAATAAAGAGTTGGTTCCTTAGCATCCTTCAAAGGGACCAGTAGAGTGAGTCTGTTTTAATGTTATTAGGAACTTAAGATGTTTAACATAATATTTCAATTTATTTCAGTTACAACTCTATGCTGTCTTTAAAAAAAACCTTTTTGGTTGTATAGTTGACATATAATAAAGTGTATAATTTGATGTTTTGATATATTGTGTGAAACAACCGCTGTAATTAAGATAGTGAACCTATTTATCGCTCTCAGAACTTTCTGCTACACCTTTATACCTTTTCTCCACCCCTTTCCTATCTCCAAGCAATTTATAATCTGTGTTCTGTCACCACTGATGAGTTTGCATAAGTGAAATCATACATGTATTTATTTTTTTGTCTGCCTTCTTTCAGTCAGCTTAATTAGTTTGAGGTTTGCTTATGCTTTGTATGTATCAGTAGTTCATTTTATTGTTGAGTAGTATTTTGTCGTATGGATAAACCACAGTTGGTTTATCCACTCGCCTGTTGATAGTAATTTGGGTTGTTTACAGGTTTGGTGATTGCCAATAAAGCTGCTGTGAACATTCATAGCCAGCTCTTATGGATACATATTTTCCTTTTCTGGGATAAATATCTAGGAGCAGAATGGCTGGGTTGTTTAGTAGTTGCATAGTTAAGAAGCTGTCTGCTGTTTGCCAAAATGAATTGTACTGTTTGACCTTCCCCATCAGCAATGTATGGTGTTTTAGTTTCTTCACATCCTTGTCAACATTTGGTATGGTTAGTCTTTTTCATTTTACTTATTCTAAGGTGTGTGTAAGTAGTATGCCATTATGATTTTAAAATTTGCATTTTTGTAGTGACTAAAGTTGAGTGTACCTTTTCACGGGCTTATATACCGTCTATATATCCACCTTAGTGAAGTCTGTTTAAATATATTCTTTGACCAACAGGAATACGCTTGTGTTTTAGACATATTTTTTCAGCCTTTTTCTCTTTTATTTTGGACTGTTTTTATTGCAGTGTCCATAAATCCATTAATCTTTTTTTTTATATATAATATCTAATCTGTTAATCCCACTCAGCATACTTTTCATTTGAAAAAATTTTCATCTCTAGGTGTTTGATTTGCCTTTTCCCCCCGTTTTCTAATCTCTCCTTCTCATGGTTTATACTTTCCTCTACTTTTTGAATATGTGGATATATTTATAAAAACTATTTTAATGTCCTGGTCCAGTTTGCCGCCTTTGTCATTTCTAGGTGATTTTGATTGATGTGATTGATTTTTCTCTTCCTCATGGGTAGTCTTTTTCTACTTTTGCGTGCTTAGTAGTTATTAATTGAATGCCAAGCATGTGACTTTGACCTCTTTTGGTGTTGGAGTTTTTTCTATGTATTTTTAATAATATAATTTTGTCTTTTAATGTATATAATTCTGACATTGTCATTGGATGTAGTTGAGCTACTTGGAGGCAGTTTGCTTTTATGTTTCGTCAGGCTGGACCAGAACAGCCTTTAAGGCTAATTTAGCATCACTACTGAGTCAATAACCCTTCTGAGTATTCTACTCAGTGCCCCATAGATTAGGAGTTCTGTTCTGTTCTGTTTTCTTTTTAATCCTCACCCAAGGATATTTTTTCCATTGCTTTTCAGAGGCGGGGGGGAGAGAAACATCAGTGTGAGAGAGAGACATTGATTGGTTTCCTCCTGCATGCACCCCAACTGGGACCAGTGATCAAGCCTGCAACCAAGATATATGCCCTTGGCCAGAATCGAACCTGGAACCCTTCAGTCTGTGGACCGATGCTCTAGCTACTTAGCCAAACTGGCTAGGGCTAGGGGTTTTTTTTTTTTTTCTATTCCAGCCTGTCAAAACATAAACTACCCCTTGATCTCTGTGACCTCTGAAATTGTTCTGCATACCTCTCAGAAGTGATTCGTTTTCCAACTTTGGATCTTTTCCTCACACACCTGCAATGATCAGTACTAAGCTAAAGATTCAAGGAATACCTACAGATTTTTGGAGTTCTCTGTTGATATCTCCCCTTTAGGACTCTGCATTGTGGATTTCAGGGAAGAGGGAATTGGCCAAGCATGCCCCAGTTCCATTTTACAACCTTACCTTTTTTATATGTCATGCAGTGAGGGCTCTCAGTAAGTTTTACCTCATCAAGTGATAGTTGTAGTAGATTATGGGACTGTGGAAAATTCTGAAATAGTTGCTCATCAGGAAAGGTTGAAGGGGGCACAAACTTTAGAATTTTCCAAATGATTATCAAAAGGCTCCATCCTTATTACCTTTTAAGTGGGGTGACTAGTTTTTTGGTATTAAATGCCCTTGTGTTAAAATTACTTTAGTAACAGTCTTTTATTTTTCAGTTATTCAAGCGAAGAAATGTTGCTACAGCAGAAGAAGAAACAGAAGAGGAAGTTATGTCAGATGGAGGCTTCCATGAGGCTCAGATTAATAACATGGAGATGGCACCAGTAAGTAAGATAATGAAAGAAACTCTTAGTGTTTCTCTGATGATAGGAGGTTTAGATAGGTTACATGTCTACAAAGAGTACTTGACATTTGATTTTTAAAAAGAAGCCATATATGTAATCTCATGATTTACTAAATGTTTATTATATTTTGACTAACATGCAGATAAACAGGATTAACTGAATTATGAAGATTAATCCAGCTACTGAAATTTACAAAAATAATTAAAATAAAATTATTCCATAACCGTTGAATAACAGGATACGTTAATGGAAATCCCTATTTGTTACCCATTTCAATTACAAAATTGGATATGTTTGTATGATTTTAAAATTTGGTTCCTTATCACTTTTGGAATTTTTAACATAATCTGTTTTGTAACTGTCTTGAGGTTATGAAAACAGATAAAAATTGTGCTTTATATGGATCACACCTGTCTACATTTCCAGTTTATGATGATAAATTTGATATTGTTTTATTAGGACATATATACACACATGGTTTTCAAAGAGAAAATCCTTTTCTTTTACCTTAGTCACCCATTGTCTTTCCCTAGTGACAACCACTGTTATTAAGTTCTTACTCTTTTGAGAAAATAAATTTTCTCCCCCTCCTTTTTTTAAATGGTGGCATATTATGCACAGTATTGTAGATTTTTTCCTTTTTTCCACTTCATAGGTCTCCATTTTTTATGGACCAGTTATACTATCATTATGTGGTGAATTCTTCTAGACCCTTCAGAAAGTCAAGCTGTTCTCTTTTTTTTAAGTGGATGTTAAATGAATATGAAGTATTTTGTGGATTAGATTACGGTTCTACAGATGAAACAACCAGTAGGAGAGAGTTAGAGAGAGGTAATGATTGATTGATGTTAAGGAATTAGCTCATGTAATTGTTAGAGCTGGAAGTCCAAAATCCATAGGGCAAGCCTGCTGGCTGGAAATTCAGGTAAGAGTTGTAGTTTTGAGGCTGAATTCCTTCTTTAGGACACCTCAGCCTTTGCTCAACTGATTGAATGAGGTCCACTCACATTTTGGAGGGTAATCTGCTTTCCTCAAGTGTCATATCATATCTAAAAAGTACTTTCACAGCAACATCCTAGACTGGGTTTGTCCATATAGCTGGATACCATAACCCAACTAGGTTGACACACAAAATTAGCCATCCTAGTCCACTCTTTGTCAATTTGACATCCATATACAACTCCTTAAACTATACTGAGTCTCAGATAAACACCAAGAACAAAGCCATACCTCCACATAAAGTGATATAACTAACCTGCATGCAACTTATAATGCACTGACCTTTTCCCCAGAATAGGATGCAAAGTTCTTGATTGTTACTTGCTTTTCACCCTGATGTCCTGTAACTTAAATACTATGATGTAGCCTGGCCGGGCATGGCTCAGCGGTTGAGCATCGACCTAGGATCCAGGAGATCACGGTTCAATTCCCGGTCAGGGCACATTCCGGGTTGCGGGCTCGATCCCCAGCCAGGGGTGTGCAGGAGGTAGCCAATCAGTGACTCTTTCATCACTGATGTTTCTATCTCTCTCCCTCTTCCTTCCTCTCTCTGAAATCAATAAAGATATATTTAAAAAAATAGAAATAAAAATACAGTGAATGTAAAGTTAGTACATTTTGTTATTTGATGAGGAGATACAAGAGGGAAGAAAACAAAGATAAAGATACATATACATAATAGGATTATATAAGTACCTTTGTTTATTCAGGAGTTAGTCTTATAAGTTTCAAAGTACAGGTAGTTTATTTTCTGATTCTTAAGAACAGAATGCTTCATTCTCCCCATGGGAATTTCTAAGTATTAGATAATGCTTACCAACCATCCAGCATTTTCAACTCAGTGCAGCTTCCTTCACAGTTCATCTTGTTGACTGTAACCCTTCATGAAATAGTAAGAACTTTACTTCATTGGCAAATGATCTTGAGAAGAAAATTAACTACTAATACTGGGGATGGGTTATAGTAGAATGTGGAAGTGTTCTAATAAAGCAAGAAAATAGAAATTTTAAATAAATTTAAGGGTCAGCTGTTCAGTTTAGCTGTGGCTGGAATCTGTGATTTATATAAGATGACTCTGTACTCATTCAGTAAATATTTGAGTGTCTACCGTATGCCAGCTATCAGTGATAGAGTGGTAAGATAGGGTCTTTGGCTTTCAAGGAGCTTACAGCATATTGGGGGAACCTGGGTAGTAAACAAATAACTAAGAAAAATATATATCTGATAGTGAAAAGGGGTGGACCCAGGGTTAAAATAGAGGGATGGGATGGAGATGGAGTAGACCCTTTACATTTGGAGGTCATGAAAAGCAGCCTTTTAGAATTTAACATTTAATCTGAATGACAAGGAATAGCTATCCTGTTGATAAGTAGGGAGAGGAAGAATAATGAACACCTTGTCTTAGTATTTACTGCTAAGATTACTACTTTCTCACTGTTGTGAGCTTTTTAATGATAGAGTTTGACTTCATCACATTACTAATCGTCATACATTTCTACATGTAAAGATTATCTTTTGTGTAAGTCTTCTAAATGTGATTAACTTAATAACATGGCCACAATTTATACTGTCTTTATCTTTGAATTAAAGTTAAAATTTCCTTGTATTTGTTTTTTGTTTGTGATCCCAGGGTGGTGTTATTACTTCCGACATGATTGAAATGATATTTTCCAATAGCCCAGAGCAGCAACTTTCAGCCACGCAGAAATTCAGAAAACTGCTTTCAAAAGGTGAGTATACTATTTATTTACAAAATACTACTTTCCCATGACCTATTGTTCACACCACAGATAACTTGCTTTGGAGTTTGTCTATCAACAGAATACAAGGATGCATACAGACATATATATGTAATTAATAAGCCATAGCAAACTTTTTGATTTCCTTATTTATTTGTGTGATCTTACAGAGACCAGAAAACAGCATTATTTTTATTTCTGAGCCATCTTATAAAAGACCTTAAAGTGGTAAGAACAATAGTCAATATTTTATGTTAATTCATATTGAGAAGCTACACTCTTTTTTAAGAAAAACTTCAAAAATACCACTGAAAGAGCAATAATTGTTGATTTTAATGCTTTAATGAAATTAAGTATGGATTTATTGGTGGCCAGGGTGACTACCTTTTGTAGAATTAGGGTAGAATGGAATATAATACTGTCATCTGGGCAAGTAAAAAGAACTCTGAACCATATTCATGTCAATAGTAAGTACTTAACTGACCACCCCCAGTAGTAAGTTACGATTGTTTTATTAGTGAGAAGTTAACATACTCCTTGAGGCTAACTAGAATAAAAACCTACCACTATAACAACAACAAAAATTGTTTTTTGCATGACAGCTTATTAAATATTTGAAGGCCATTATCATGTACACCTTCCCCACCCCTCTAAAAATGTCTCTCTTCAGCAAGCTGAGCCTAATGGATTTCTCACATAATGTGTGGCTTTTTAAGGCCTTTCACTACTCTAGTACTTTCCTGCATGTATTGTAGTTTTCCATCCTCCTCTTTAGAAATGTGATAACTAGAATACAGTACTGCTGATGTGTTATTACTCTCAGGAGTGAGAGATTGCCTTCCTGAGACTATACATTACAGTAATGTACAGTAATGTACAGTACTTCGGTTTTCGAATGTCTCCCTTGACAAACATCTGGGCTTTCGAACACCATAAACCCGGAAGTAAATGCTTCGGTTTTCGAACTCACCTCGTAAATGGAACATGCCACACAGCTTCCTCTGAGGGCAAGACCCTGAGGCCTAGCTGTCAGCTATTGATCCCTCAGTTTTTGAACATTTCAGAACTTGAACAGTCTTGTGGAGCGGATTACATTCGAAAACCGAGGTACCATTGTATTCTAAGATAGCATCAGTTATTTCAGTAGTCATGGCACAGTAATGTTTCATTGTATTCACAGCATTCTAAACTCCTTAGTATTTTTCTTCATGAACTGTTTTTAAGTTTTGTCTGTGAAGTCATGCAGATTGTTCTTGTTTTTAATTTTTTAAAAATTCAGTTGCTGAGTTTTGCTTTACCTGTTGCTTTCTTGCCAACTTTGGCTTAATGTTGTTCTTTTTATATGTTGTTTTTGTCAATCTAGCATATTAACTACTTTATCTTTATTATATCACCAAATTTATTTGTTGTGTTTATCTGAATGGTTGGTAAAAATGTCAAACCAGGCAAAGAACATGTCATTAGAGCTCTCTCCAAGTTATCATTGTACCATTAGTCACCTCTTGCAGTAAAGCCATTGACTTGGCTAAGAATTCCTAGTAGTACTGTAGTCTAGCTGCCATTTGTCTTGGATTGCTACATAAATGTCATAAAAATTTTTGTCAGATCTCTTGCTGAAATTATTATGCTGATTGATTAGGATATTTCCTATTTATTTGCCCCCCAAGTTTCTACTGACTGACTGACTTCATTTATAAGCTACTCTATTGTTATAGTTGAAAGTGAAGTTTCGCAAGTCATCCTTGGTGCATTCTTGCTCTGGTTTCTACTTAACAGCTGCAGAATTAAGTCTTGCAGGCACACTCAGAATATCCTAATCTAGTTCTTTTTTTCTTCTTCTTTTTTTTTTTTTGAAAACTTCTAAGTCTTTTTGAGCCAAACTGACTTTTGCTGGAAAGCAAGATCTCAAATGCTCCCCTAATCCAGTTTCTTTTTTCCTTCCTTTCTTCTTTTGTTTTGTTTTGTTTTGTTGTTAATACTCACCAGAGGATATTTTTCCCATTCTTTTTCAGAGAGAGAATGGAAGGGGGAGGGAGAGAGAGACATCAATGTGAGACAGATCAATTGGTTGCCTCCCACACACATCCTGACCTTGGGGTGGGGGGCGACCAGCAATCCAGGCACTGCCCTTGACCGGAAATTGAACCCACAGCCCTTCAGTCTGAGGGCTGATGTTTTAACCACTGAGTCAAACTGGCCATGGCCTAATTCAGTTTCTTAAGACAGTTTATGTTAAATAAAAAAGACAAACAATAAACCCATACACAGATAAAGGACTAGAAGGAAGTATACCAAAATAATAACAGTTGTTATCTTTGCTGGTTTTCCCTCTACTTCCTAAGTTTTCTAAAATACTTGAGGTAGTAATTTTAATTTTTAAGAATTCTGCCCATCATTTCCATGTTAAGGCTTACCTTATTGTGAAATCTTTCAAGCTACCATAGTCTCAAAGTCACTGAACTCAATTTTACATTTTTTTTCTTTTTTAGATTTCCAACATGAAAGAGATGCTAAAATAGAGGGAGGGATATTGTGAAATAATTTTGAGCTATAAAGTTTTTGCATTGAAATCAAAGAATTATTTCTCTTCTTTCCTTTTATTTTATGGGGAGACAGAACCCAATCCTCCTATTGATGAAGTCATCAGCACACCAGGAGTAGTGGCCAGGTTTGTGGAATTCCTCAAACGAAAAGAGAATTGTACACTGCAGGTGCGAACCTTTTCATTTCTTTTCTCATACCTTCTCTTTGCAAACTCACATTTTGTTACTTATTTTACTATATATGAAGGGTTAGTTTTTTATAATGATACTCCCAATAACCGTATTGCAAGTTTCTTTGATAGTTTTAACATCCAGGCCCTTGGTTTTACTCTTTAGAATTTTTGTCATTTTTAGTCATGTAAAAGATTATTTTATGATGATTGTGGATAATACTTAACCAGTAAGGAATCCACGTGTGAGCTATGTAAAATTTGGTTTTGAAGGATTTTTAGATTATACTCGTTAGCTTTCTCAGGGCTGTGTAACATGGGCTAGATCAGAGACTCACTAATCCCCCAATCTAATTAATCTTCCCCCCTACCTCAGGAGAGCTGATGGGGAGGTAGCCTTGTCAGGAATCCATGTGCTTTCTGCTGTTAATTTAGTCTATCAAGACTGTGCTATGTGAGAATTACAAGAGGAAATCCTCAACTTCTGGATTGGATAACTTTCACAGTAAAAAGAACTGCTGTGAACTGACTCATCCTGGGACTTATTTAGAAATTTTAAAATAATATTTTGTTCCTGAATAAAATTGGACTCTTAGTGAATTGGTAATTTTTCAGTAGCTAGACTTTCTTGGAGTTACCAACTGAATTAATTTCTCTCTTCTTTAGCAAATACCTGTGACACCTAAATCCTCAAGTACTTCTATGATCTCATCTGAAGGATTTAGGCAACTATAAAAACTGGTTAGGTACCAAGTAGATTACAAAATGGGGTTATTTTTCCATGTAAATACTTGCCAATAACAAGTTAATTATAGCGATTACTTTTGGCTCCTTGTTTGCTTTTGCCTTACTCTGAGGCTATAGGAATTGGGGCATTTTTGTACATAACTCTCTCTCCAGGTTCCTTACTGTCCAGAGTATTGTAGATAATTCTTAAGACTTGGTGCTTTGTCTTGATATTTTCTCTCCTTTCCTCCCACCCCATCTTTCTCCTCTTTTACTCTCTTTGTTGCGGTGATGAGTTTCTTCCAGAGGAAAAACAAGATATCCAGAAAAGGTAGAGTACTTCAGTGACCCATCAGTTTTTCTTCTCCAGTTTGACATTTACTAATCCCCAAGTTCATTTGAATTAAGATTCTGTTTTGCTAGCTGTCTCCTGGATTGTAATTCTGGTCCCCATCTAAGGCCAGGATCACCATCACCTGAAAAATTATCAGGTTCACCTAAAAAGCAAGGAAAGACTTTTCTCAGAAAAAAAGGAAATCCAGACAATCAACACTGCAGAGAACAGAGCCTGAGCCCATAAGCTACCTGCCAAGAGAACCAGAGGAACCAAATGAAGAGCCTTACTGCAGTTTATCATTTGAAAAGCTTTGTAGGAAGAGGGAGGTAGGGAAAATTATTTTGTTCATGTGAAAATATGTTTCTATCCTGTCTCTGACAATGAGAGTAGTTCCAAGGTACTGAATTTACTCCTGGATCTAACAGTTTTTAATAGGTGACTCCAGGGGTCCAGTTTCTTAATGCACTAAAGAAAAATGGTATAACCTAGACCTAAAATGGAAAGTCAGAGAAATGGGTGTTTCCCCATCTCTGCATTCTCCAGTACTCCCTACAGAGTACAGCATGTTCTCAGACAGTGCCCTCTCCTGGCTAACACATGTAAATTCTGTAATTTTTTATTCTAATCCTAGAATTTGTATCTTTAAAACATCTGAAGATGAATGCCTTCAGAAATCTCTAATTTGCTTCTATCTAAATTTTCAGATTCCACCCTTTTGAAAACTAATAATAGGCTGAAAGATCGAGAAATTATTCCTCTGGAAGTGACCACCTCATGATTTTCACCTTAGCTGTTCAAAGACTGAGAAATAGTCAACCTGTTTATTATCTAAAGGTCATCCCCACCTTTTCTTCTGTGTACATTTAAACACAACATGGTGTTCTTTCTCCAATGTGACTAATGACCACCCCCAGAAGCAGGAGCAGTAAGTATATTGAAGGGGAGACCTTAGGGCCAGGAGGTTTCATGCTCAAATAATTAGATGTGCTCTGGTAAACTTGGAGGGTACTCCTTCCTCTGGCTTCTTGGAGAGCACTATGATGTAAGTTGTCTCAGATACTCCTACCTGCTTGCTAGAAAGTTGAATAGTGTGTCTTTGGAATGGGGCTTTTGCCATTTCTCTTCCAGGAAGAGAATAATAATATGGTCATAATAGCTAAACGCACTAATAAATCCTGTGGACAAACTTTATTTGTTCATTCCATAAAGGACTGTGAATCCTAGTAAAGGGTCTCTTCACTTCCTTTCTGGCTTTCCTTATTCTGAAATCAGTGAGGTGCCTCAAATCCGAGAGATAAAATCTCCTGCTTCGGGCAGTGCTATCCAGATGCTCTCTTACCCTTAAACGAGATGAACATGGGTGGAATCTAGGATTTTGGTAACAGACGGTACCATTTGCCTAAGAGCATCCTGAGTCCAGGCCCAGAATCTGTATTGTCCTTAGCAGTGCTAAGATGTTACATTCACAAACCTTATAGAAGCTTATAAAAATATTTAGAAGTAAGTAAATTGCCCCCTAGCTCCCATAATTAGACACGTACTCTCCTTAAAATCATAAATTTGAAAACAATTGGTTTAGTTTCCCCATTTCTGCCTCTCGCGTCCCTTCTAAAAGCTTAATGTGATAAGCTGCAGTAAGCCTTCATCCTCCTTCGTCTTTATCCATCTTCACTGAGCCCTCTACCCTTCTTGCAGGGTTGCTCAGATGACTCAGGCGCTGTTCTCTGCAGAGTTTTCTATCTGGGTTTATTTTTCTGATGTGAGCCTTTCTTTTCACTTGCTCTCCAGGTGAGCCTGGCATTTGCTAGGAACCAGAGTGGACCCAGCAAAGTGGCCAGCAACAGAGTCCTGATCCAAATGGAGAAAGGGAACCAGGCGTACCTCAACCTGGAGTGGGAAACTTGATAGGAGGTCAGAAGTATTTCAGCTTTGGATTTTCATTTTCCTTATTTAAGGAACTAAGAACCAGAAGGTAGAGACAGAAAGGGAAGAGAGAAAATATCAAATCTTCAGTATGCCCTTCAGATTTCAGTTTTAGCCTTATTTAGCAAGTTTTGGATAGTGGAAAATAACGGAATTACAATTTATAAGCAATTACAGCTGCGTGACAGGTTGTTTCCTTGTATGGTGCCATTCTTGGAACACTAAGAATATAGTAGTTTAAAACGACAACCAGGAAATAAAGATGATAGTTATTCTTGCTACCATTTGTTACCTTAGGTAGTACTATTTTTTATATATATTTTCATTTCTTCATGTTACTTATTTGTTTGTGAGTCACATGGTTACTTTACTTAAATTACTTTTCCTGGCCATTTCTATCATAACTTTATGCAATTGTGCTATCAATTCTGGGCTTTCCCATTTCACAACTATCTTTCATGTTAAAATCTAATCAGGCACACAGAGCCGAAACATTAACCAAAAAAGTGACCGCATTACCCAGTGAAAGCATTTATCACACACATAATACATGGGTATAGAAAATTGCACAAATATAGCTTGATGAGTTTTTATGAGGTAAACATTAATCAGCACCCAGTGTGTATGTATGTTTTAATGCCTTATTAATGCATGAATATGATTTAGTTTCCAGTGGCCTTCTGATTATAAGTTATTTGTCTATTTTTGTCCTGGTAATGGCAGAACTGATTTCTTATTTTCATTTTTACCAAGAGGGACCTTGAATCTTTGTGTTCAGAGGTTGTCATCATTGTGTACTTCTAAGTAATAAATGTGACTCTGGTACATTCTTCTTTTGATGAGATGTCCTGATTTCTAATTTTCTTCCATTCATATTTAGGCTATTTTTTACTTACTCCATATTTTCCTAATCATTGTCACTATTTTATTTTGCTTCTCCATTTTACTTACTTTAGTAGCATCTGAATTCTCTCTCATTTCCTGTGATACCGTTGGTCATCAGACAAATAGCAGTTTGGAATCTGGCAGCAATTAGTATTCTGGTTTCTTCTTGTTGATACCTCTTTAATATATCCTTTACTCAGATTATTGTTACCATTTGTTTTGCATTAAAATCACACTACAGTCTGTTTTCTCTTTGCTGTAGATTGGTATGTATGCTGATCTGACTCATTATTTACAGATTGCTTTGCCCCAGTTTTCATTTCTTTGACTTGATCTTTACATACATGGTAACTCTTTGTTGAACTTTGAGCCTGTCTTCTGATAGGAAAGTTTGCTTTTGTATTCACATCATACATGTCTGTTTTACTAATGAATTTTCCTAGTAAGCAAAAGAAGCTGAATAATCTGACATCGTTATTTGATATTTGTGTCGCTAGATACCAAAACTACAGTTGAAAGATTCTTGTTAGTGTTACAAGTAGGCTTCAGAGAGGAAACTACAAAAGAGGGAGCCAGAGAGGCAGGCTTTAAGTGTAGAATAGAAGGCTATAATCTAGTTCTCTTTGGCTGTGTAACATTACTCAAGTCATTAGTCAGATTGTTGGATCTTTTTCTAATAGTTTCCTCATTCATAAACTAGAAGGGCCAGACTTCTCTGGGTTGCTGTGAGAAACACCTGAGAGTATGTGACTAATGCTTTGAAAATGCTATATAAAGTGCTGTATAAATGTAAAGTTTCAATTCAGACAGATTGAAATGGGTTTGAGCATTGGTCTCAGTAGTGATTTAGTTACAGGAGGATATTTGGTGGGTTATTTTAGAGCGAGAGAGAAACATTAATTGATTGCCTCCCATTGGCAACCTTTTTGGTGGATAGGACGATGCTCAACCAACTGAGCCAGCCAGCTGGGCTGATCGGTTTAATTTGTGATAATTCAGCATTTAAAAGTCTCCTGAACTTTCCTCATAACAAAAAGTTAACAGACAGAAATATGTTCCTTTTACGTGTAAGGGTGCTCTTGATCCAGTACCACTGCTGCTGTAATATCAGTGTTCAGCGTGGCTACCAAACCACTGCATCTCACTTGTGGATATCACATTTATAGGTTTCTTTGAACATCCTCTTCTTTAAACATCTTGTGCTATGAATTTGCTATTATTCGTGTGACTTTGAACTGTGCTAACCAGATTGCCTTCCATTTCTTCTTCATCTTTTGCCCCTTATGATTATTTGTTTTTCATGTGACAACTGCCTTTCAGTCTACCTAAAAGCTTAGAAGAGTCATAGCTCATTTTTTTTTTTTTTGATGACTTTTTATTGCTCTCTCATTCAAGGGACATACCACTGGATTTTTTTTCTTCATATGAGCTTCATTAAAGAATAATTAAAAGACAAAATGAGAGAAGGAAACAAAAACTAAGAACTCAACTAAAATAGAACTGTAAGAGTTAATTTTGGGATTTTAATAATTTCTAATTTCTAGGTTCAAGAATCAAGTTACTATAGAATGGGTAGGATTGACCATAATTTCACATCAAGAGGGTATTTGCCATACCCTCTGTTTACCAGTTTATCAACCATTAAGAATGCTCTTTTTAAAGTCTTACCTCTGTGCCTTGGTTTGGAGCCTTCCTATTTATTGGAAGGTCTTATGCTCTGAAGTTGCCATTTCTTTTAATTATATGCCTGTTAGTTTCTTTTGGCGTACTTCCTTATCATTTAAAATATCTTTTGCCTTTTTCACTCTGCCTGTATTTTATACATTTTACACTAACATCCTCTCCCCATTTCACTTTTCCCATCCTATAGAAATTAATTTATTAGATAATGTACGTGGTTTGAGGCCAAAAGGTACAGAAAGCTTTACAGTAAGGAGTTTTTCCTTCCCATCCTTGTTCCCCATTCACCCTGACCTCTCCATGTAGGTAACAAGTATTTATAGTTTCTTGAGACTCCTTCCAGAGATAGTCTGTGCAATAAGTAATGCATACATTCCTTCTTAGCCCTTTTAGAAAATATAGTATGGTATCATATTAATGTATACTGTTTTTCATTTTTAAATATAATTTGGGAGATCATTCCATATCAGTATATGAAGCACTCCCTCCTTCTTTTTATGGTCTTGTCAGCTCTGCCTTGATCTGAAATTTTAGACACCCTGAATAGTCCTCTAGGCTGCTGAGGTATTTCTTCTGGGAATTCTTTTAAAATTAATATAGTGTTCACCTGATACATTATATGCAAATAATCTCAGGGCTTTTTTCTTCATGTACAGAAAACCTTATTGTTATAAGTAAGCAAGCTGTTAAATTCTAATAAGATAATGAAATTATTTTTATCTTTATAGTTTGAATCAGCTTGGGTATTGACAAATATTGCTTCAGGAAATTCTCATCAGACCCGGATTGTGATTCAGGCAGGAGCTGTGCCTATCTTCATAGAGTTGCTCAGCTCAGAGTTTGAAGATGTCCAGGAGCAGGTAAAAAAATGAAACAGATAAAGAGAAGCAGGTGAAAGAATACAATTTTTCCCTTCGGTCTTACATTCAGGGCCTCAGTTTTACCACTTGGCCATGACAATCTATGATTCTTTACAGGGAACATTCTAGAAATCTAAATTACCCAAATAGAAAATTTCCTAGTGAATGTAGGTAGAATTTCTCCTAGAAACAAAACCATTTTTCCTTCCAACCCTGAAATTCTTTAAGCCGTATAGATAAACTTTTTAGACTGTGTAAGCAGTTACTGAGCTTTTTCTTATAGGAATCTAGTATTTATTGAAGTAGCAGGTCTTTGCCATTTTTGTGCACAAAAGACTTAGAAACATGAATTTTTTATTATTGCAAACTTTATCAAATTCATAAATATGAATCACTTCTAAATGAGAATGCTTTCCTCCTGCAGCTTTATTGAGGTATAATTGACTTACAATAAACTGCATTTATTTAAATCTGATAAGTTTTGACAAATGTATATACCCGTGAAACCATTATGACAATCAAGAAAGTTAATATATCCATCACCACTGAAAGTTTCCTGCATTTTGATTGTTCTTAAATTTTTGTTTACTATTTTCTTTTGTAAGCAAGCTTAAAAAACATTTTTAACCTGCTGAGTAAGCCATAGGAATCACTGCTCTGTACCAAGAGCTGTTGTGAACTGTTACATAGGGGTGGGTTCCCAAAAGGTAAAGAATATGTATAAGAACTGTTTTTTTCTTTATTAAGCTTACTACCATAAGTGTTCCCATGTACACTTTATAATATTATTGATCTTTCCCCAATCCCACAACTATTTCATCTGACTCCTTGATGAGGAACTTTGGGATATTGATAATGTCCATGTATAATATGTTGATTAACTACTGTATAATTTTGTAAAGAATTATTGTGATTTGTTGACTTTTTTTTTTTTTTAAGAGTTGTAAGAGAATTAAACTCTACAACCTGCCATTAATGAATGATTTTTTCACAGGCAGTCTGGGCTCTTGGCAACATTGCTGGAGATAGTACCATGTGCAGGGATTATGTCTTAGACTGCAACATTCTTCCCCCTCTTTTGCAGTAAGTTTCTAATTTTTTTTTTAAGTAATGAAAATATGAGAAGTTCATTAGAAAGCAGTGCATCTTCGGAAATCATTTTGGATTTTCTGTTATTTTTTGTTGTAGACACTTGTTCAGATCATTTCTTTAGTCATCCTGTCTTATTCCAGTCCCCAAATTCTGAATTATTTGGTTAGAATTAAACTTTATTGTTCTGGAGAAAATGGCTTAGTATTTATATTAATGAGAATTAATGTTCATTATATTGTTTACCTCTGTGTCATCATACTTGTAGGTTATTTTCAAAGCAAAACCGCCTGACCATGACCCGGAATGCAGTATGGGCTTTGTCTAATCTCTGTAGAGGGAAAAGTCCACCTCCAGAATTTGCAAAGGTAAGGATTATACTTGTGGGAAATTGGCAGAAAAAGTACAATTAAAAGAGTGAGCAACTAATATTAATATGAAAGGAAAGAGATGATAAAATTCTAAGAAATTTTATTAAAAATTATCTGGCCCGGCCAGGCGTGGCTCAGCAGTTGAGCATCGACCTAGGATCCAGGCGATCATGGTTCGATTCCCAGTCAGGGCATATGCCCAGGTTGCAGACTTGATCCCCAGTCGGGAGCGTTCAGAAGGCAGCTGATCAATGACTCTCTCATCATTGATGTTTCTATCTCTTGCTCTCCTTTCCTCTCTCTGAAATCAATAAAGATGTATTTAAAAATAATTATGTTTTTAGGGAAATAGGGCTTGTTTTTATTTTTATTTGGGATACATTTTTGCTGCCTGTTAAAAGCTCTGAATTAATCTTTAAACTTAGAAGTTTTTTGTTCGTAAAGTATCTAAAATACAGAATTTCTAGCTTTAGCACTTGGGAAAGTTCCTTTACTTGTTCTACAAGGGATCTCTCAGAATTGGTGTGTATTAAACTTTACTCTCTTAAATTATTTTCCTTGAGCTTTCACTGCCTCATCAAAGTAAGCTACAAGGCCACTGACAGCATTCCCAAAGATAGACATGCCACTTGGCCATTTGCTACTCCATCTCTAGAAGTACCACTAATCACCCCAAAAGTTAGCAAGTGTGTGCCTGGTTGTTTCTAGAGTTTATCACCTCACTTCTGGCTTTTATTCTATTGAATTTTATAATCATACCTTCCTTTTACAGGTTTCCCCCTGTCTGAATGTGCTTTCCTGGTTGCTCTTTGTCAGTGACACTGATGTACTGGCTGATGCCTGCTGGGCCCTCTCATATCTATCAGATGGACCTAATGATAAAATTCAAGCAGTCATTGATGCAGGAGTGTGTAGAAGACTTGTGGAGTTGCTGATGTAAGTTATCTTTAAGAAAATGAGTCTGCTTTTTCTGTCCCAATATTAATTTTTTTAGTTGCTGAACTCAAATATTTATTTGTTACATTGACTTACTGTGCTTTGGGCTTCTGTTCTTTAGGAACTTTTGGAAAACTGTGTAATTCCAGCTCAAGTTTAATTTCCTGAGACCAACCACTGGATAGTGAAAGGCATATTGCCACTAAAAATAGTCATTACTTTCTATCTCATTTAGACCTTATTCTGGACTGGTATACTTTGAATTTTATTTTGCTATATCTCCTTGTGATACTTCTGATTTATGGAGTGGAGAATTTACAACATAAATAAAGATTGTATTATTCAAATTTTTAGATAATACTAAAGAAAAAAATTAGTGATAAGATAATGGGGAAATGATACACAGTTACAAGGCACATGAAATTTAACTCAAGTAAGTACAAGGTAGATGCCGGGAGACACTGCCCCAAACAAGACATGTGGAATGAATTGGATCATTGTAATGTACACAATGCAAAACTCTGGCATTATAGCTGGTTGCAGACTGGGTGCACATCAGCAGCATAATGCTATTGTGAATTAAAAGCAATCTGATGCTCTAGGAGTCAGAAGTACAGCATTTAAAATCTGGGAAGTTATCTTTTGTACTCTTTGGTCACTAGATTACTATATATCTTAACTATTTCTTTTTAATCATCCAATCTTAAATATGAAGGAACTGTCACTGTTTTGAGAAGAGTAATCTTATTTAAAAGGGAGAGAAAATGGGATTTTTAAGGAAAGTTAAAGGATATTAACTTATTTAGCCTGAAATAAAGACTTAATATTTGTCTTCAAATATATAGTTTTGTGGAGGGTTTTATTTTATTTGTTTTTTGACCAGTATGTCAGGAGTGGTTTAGCAGAGTGAGTTCACTATTTGAAGTGTGAAGCCTGGCTTTTATTTTCAGGTTATTTCAAGTTGATGTATTTTCAACTCTAAAAAAATGCTATATAAATGTTAACCATTGCTCTTCGTTGTATCAGCAACCATAGGGACCAAGTAAAGAGGAAATGAAGACTGTAACAAACAATGAGAGGGAAACCTTAGAATCCTGGTGATAGAATACCTGGGAAATATTATTAGGAAAGATTTGTAGTGGTTTTTTTTTTTTTAATCCAAAATACTAAATAAAGGGAGAGACAGCTCTTCTAGGGGACAGCAAGCATTCTGTCATCATGACAGGGGTCCCTTAATAACCACCATCGGTAATTTTCTGTCACGTTATTTAGTTTGGATTTCAGCCCTAAGGTAAAGAGACTAAGGATAGAATTGATATAACATTTCTTTTTATGGTTGCAGGCATAATGATTACAAGGTGGTTTCTCCAGCTTTGCGGGCTGTGGGAAACATTGTCACAGGGGATGATATTCAGACACAGGTATGAATAAGTGGCAACTATTTTTTCCTTCAAAAATAGTATATTGAACCCCATGATTAAGTTTCTGTTATACTATTCAATTCCATATTATTGGGGAGAATTGATACTTTGTTTCATTAATGTTTGTTAAAAATTAGGCAACTACTTTCACTATCTGTCTGTTTTGACCTGGTACTTGTAGCAGTTTTGGGGTCCCTTTGATTTAACTTAACCTTTTGGTCAGGCAGGTTTATTTCCCTCTACCCCTACTTGAAATGGTTCTTGTGAGCATCAGAAGCCTCCAGTAGCATCTTTTCTCTGTCTCTGTCATCTTTGTCTCATCATCTCTGATAGCTTCCTTCTTTTTGTACATGGTAAGTCTGCTATGTGAGGAGGATTCTTGCCTTGTAGTTCCTAACGTCACTCCATTCAACTTCTACATCCAGATACATCATTCACAGTGGATTATCCTAGCCATTTTTCTTCTTGATCTCTCAAATACATTGGTGCATTGCTGTCGTCTTTAAATGATCTTTCTAGGCTTTGTGGTGGTGAAGTGTTTTCAGTCTCCTGCCTCACTGACTATTTCCCTTTAGTGAGCTCCTTTTTCTGTTTCTTCCTTTTTGTGGAAATCCTCTGGGAGATAATACTTCAGCCTCATTCACTGATCTTTTTTATAAATTCAATCATTACTTTGTGTGCATGAATTGAGAATTAGGTTTTAGCCTTACCTTAGCTTTTTCTTAACCACCATTTACTTTCACAAGACATTTAATGTCTTTTTTAATCTCTGAAATTTAGGAAGATTGGATTTGTTTTCTGAGGTGTCTTCAAACTTCAGTGTTTACTTTAAATTTATTCTGTCCATTAGGGAACTCATTATTTTCCCTTATCTATTTGAGCCTCTGCTTATTTATGTGCCCTGTTTTAGTGAAGGGCACCAACAGTTGCCTGAGGCAAAAACCTGGACATCAGCTTGATGCTTCTCCACTGCTCTCATTAGTCTCTAAGTCTGTTACTCCATCTCTCCTTATCCCTTGTAGTGCTTAGTTCACACATTTCTTGTACCATTCCCATGTTACCAGAAGGATGCTTGTAAAACACAAATTTGATCATGTATAATCTTTTACTTATAATTTTTTTATGGCCCTCTGTTGTCCCTGGGTGATGTTTAAGAACATTTAAAATCTGGTAGCTGTGGAATGGAATGCTGTGCAACAAAAAGCAGCAGCTCTTAAGCCCTGATATAGAAAGCCCTCCAGGTTATATTGCTTATAAAGAAAAACAAGGGGCCGTGGAGCAATGGCAGTGCCCCAAGGTCAGTGGTGTGACTTGTTGGCCAAGCTGCTAGTTCAGGATTCATCTCAGGCCTGTTCTGGCCCTGGACCCAGTGGCCTCAAGGAGAAGGGGAAGCAAATCCTGAAGGAACTAGGTGAGTACTATGAGAAGTTTAAATGGGAGACAGACAGAACCTGAAGAGGAGAGTGTTGCACTGCATTCAGAGAGCCCTGGTTCGGAGTCAGGAGCTAGGTGATGAGAAGATCCGGTTGTGAGTCGTATGGTGGAGAACTGGACCAGGCAGATGGACAGTCATGTGGAACTCTTTGAGGCACACCAAGAGGTCAATGACACCACTGGCCACAGTGGCAAAGCCAGCTAGGATGAGTCCAAGAATGAGACAATCACACAGGCAGAAAAGCTCAGGAGGTGCCAGTTACAGCACAGAAATGAGAAAATTGGGAGAATGCAGCTAATGATCGTGACCATGATGTCGTCACCTCTGGAACGCCCAAGGAGAAGAAAGCAAAGGCCTCCTAAACAAGTGCTTCAAGGCCAAAGCAGAGAGGGAAGCATCTCCCGTAGACCTTCCCATTTAACCAAATGAGCTCACTTACTGTCTATGCAATCAGTTCTCCTATGGAGAAATAATCGATGAGTGCCCCATGGAATTGCTCCACTTCCCGTGTGTAGGACTGAGTCATAAACCACAGAGCAAGTGGTACTGTCTCAGATGTCAAGGGGAGAACGAGAAAACCACAGACAAAGCCCCGGAGAAATCCAAAAACGAAAGGATTTATAGCAGGTAGATGGTGGATTTCCCTAACAGTGAGAACTAAGCCGGTATATTTATTACATCACCACCCTTGGTGAGGCGCAAAGACTGTACAATGTATATTTTTAAACAATGTTAGAAAAGGAGCCCTATTTTTGTGTGTCTGTGTGTGGGGATGGCAGTGATTCTCTTTGCCTTTTGTTTTCATTGGTACACATGTGTAACAAGAAAGTGGTCTGTGGATCAACATTTTAGGAACTACAAATATAGGTTTAAATTAAACACTAAAAAACAAGGGGCAGAATTGTGTGTAAAAAGGGGTAGGGAAGAAAGGAGGGAAAAATAGTATACTATATGTTTATGTTTGCATAAAATTTCTCTGGAAGGATACATAGGAAACTAATAATATTGGTTGTCTCTGTAGAAAACTGGGTGTCGGGGGTACTGGAATGGAAAGGAGGCTTTTAAGTATATTGTTCTTCATACTTGCTGTATTTTTAAACCATTTCAGTGTATTTACTATTAAAAAGTTTCTATGTTCCCCTTCCCACACCATATTTTATGTTCTTGCCATTTCCCCTTTAATTAGCTATGACCACACTCAGCTCTGAGCTTTAACACATACTTTCTTTCCCCTGCATGGAACATATCTACCCCCCATTCCTGCTCTGACCACTACCTCACATGGATCCACACCCTGCCACTGTTTTCTCATCTTCAGGTTTGGTATGACAAAAACAGTTTTCTCTGAGAAACTGTGTTTGCTTTCATACTCTTTTTTTTTTTCTTTTTTAATTTTTAAATTTTATTTTTGTTTAAAATGTTACAGATGTCCCTTTTTCTCCCCAGTGACCCATTCCACCCCGTCCCATCCCCCTCCCCAGTCCCTCTCCCCACCATTGTCCATTTCCTTGGGTTGTGCATAGATGCTCTCATACTCTTAAGTTATGTGCTGCTGCTTTTGTTTCATCCATCATGGCACTTACCGCACTGTATCACACTGTCTAATTACTAGATTGTAAGCTTCTAAAGGGGAATCTGGGTCATTCTTGTTCATTTTTATGCCTTTGTAATCTAATAGTTCCTGACACAATGTATAGGAACTCAAGTATTTATTGAAGTTCTGAATCTGTACATCTAGTTATGACTTTCTCTCAAGTTTCAGTCCCATGTCTCCAGTAGCCTGTTAGGTGTTTCTGCTTGCATGTCTCACATTTGTCTCTCTCAGTGTATGTTCTCTCGCAAAGCATGTTCTAGCTCTTGATTTTTCCCATTGCAACTAATGATATAACTCTTCATCTACACTTGAAACTTTGCAGTCATATTTGATGTCTCCATATCTCTCACACTTTGTATAGTAAGTCACCAGGTCTTGTTGATTCTTACTGTTACCAGATCCACTTCCTATTATCTTATTTTGGTTCCTGTTTTTTCACACACAGGGTTGTTGCTGTACCCACCTGATTTATCTTCCTACTCTCCCAGTTTATTCTCCCTAATAATGACTTAACCTTCCCTAAAATAACCTTGTTCACATTACTTGTTTTCCTCTTAGAAACAAGCTTCTTTAATGCCTATGAGATAAAGAGCTTTGAAAGACGTTAAGGAAGACTTGAAGGAATTTGTACTTAAAGATTTTAGTCTCATTCTTCTCTTTGGCCTACTGTTAATTTTGGCCTATTTTCTTAGTTTGGTACTTCGTGGTAGCCCAATCTCAGCATTTTCTCATTTTCAACCTACCTGCAGGGTCCTTTCTATTCTTTACTTTGGAAATCTTGTCTCTTTTAAAGTGCCCCCCCCACACACACACACACACTCCCTATGAAGTCTTTGCCCGACTACTCCTCCTCAAGTATTGTTTAATTTTGGATGTGTTTATTTTCCAGACCATGTGTTTTGGCATTTTAAAAATTGCTTTGTGACATCTTTTATACTGTTACTTAGAAAGGTTGTACCTGTTTAAAGTTTTATTTTTGAGCTACGTTAATTTAATAGGCAAAAAAGAAAAGACTTCCTTTTAATTTGCATTCTTTTCATTCTCACATTCTTGTGAGATAATAGCATCCCTCTTATCTGTTGCATTTCCCCCCTATTTTTTTCATTGTTTTTATGCTTGATAAGTCCTTCACGATCCGAAAACCATCTATTTACTCATATTTTCTTCTGTCTTATGGTTTCTCTTTTATATTTACTCATTAAACCAGCTGCAAATTAATTTTTGTAATGGGTTAAGAACTGATTTTTTAAAAATGTTTTCAACAGGTTAACCCCTTTATTCTAGTTTCATCTATTAAATAAGACCACCAATTACTGTAGGAGGAAAGGATTAACTTTATTATATACTTAATTCTTTATAAAAAGCTGCATGTGATTTTGGACTTTATATCTATTCTGTTGTTCGTGATTGATTCTTGAGCCCGCCACCTATTATTTTAGTCATGACAACTCTATGATTTTAGGTTTTGGTAGGGTAGATCTCCATGTGTATTTATATCTTATCTCCCTCATCTTTGTAAGCTTTTCTGGTAGCTGGGGATGTATTCTTTTTATCTTTGTATCTTATAAAGCACCTGGTATGCTTCATTATGTATTTGGTTCATTGACTACCAGGTAGAGGGTTATCAGAGGACTTAAAAATCCAAGACCACTTCTGAATTTCTGGCCACTTGATACAGTACTCATCCAAAGGCATTTTAATATGCTGTAGGGATAGGAAGGTAAATAAGACATTATTATGCCTTACCTAAGTACAGGTTTAGTATTTGAGAATATGTACAGTGAAACTGCTTTAAATGATCTTAGAAACTAATTCTTACTAGCAGTGAATACTTTTTTCACATATATAAAGTTATTTGTTTCTAAAATTTCAAGGGGAGAAATTAAGTTATTTGCCTTTATTTTTTTCTAAAATAAAGTTTTTGAGTTAAAGATTTACTTATATCTGTTTGGATAAATACAAGAAGTAAAATTTTCAAACTTTTCCTTTAAGGTAATTTTGAATTGCTCAGCTCTGCAGAGTTTATTGCATTTGCTGAGTAGCCCGAAGGAATCTATCAAAAAGGAAGCATGTTGGACAATATCTAATATCACTGCGGGAAATAGGGCCCAGATCCAGGTAAATTCATATAGCACCTGTCTTTTTTGTATATTTTTGTAGATAAGTAAGACTCTTTTTCTGTCACCCTTTAAAATATATTTTTTCATTATTGCCTTGGAGACCATTTCCAACGTTGTTGTCTTATTTGATTTGTCTACGTCTGTCTTTTTTAAAAAGTCCTACTTTAAAGAGGTTAAATCTTTTGAACTTATATTTGGGCCTTGGTATTTTCCTTTGCCTTTAATGATGATTTGCCAAGATAGTGAAATAGTGTCTTGTATTCTTGCAGTATTTTGTTGGACTTGATGCTAAACAGATTAGCTTTACTCTTGCCAAGTAAAATACTTATTTTCTAGTGGACTAATGTATTAGATTGCTTCAGTTTTTCATGAACCTTTGAGGACCCATTTTTCTCTAACTGATTATCTGCCTTTTCCTTTTATTCTTGTATCAATGGGAGAGTAACCCAAGTGGAAGACTAGCAGTGGGCCAAATGGTCCAGCATAGGCCATGAGAAAGGCTGGAACAGCAGGTTGAATTTATGAGACTTTGAGCTGAGTGGAATCAGAGGTCATCTAATCTAACGTTCTCATTTATAGATGGAACTGAGGCTTAGAAAAATAAAATGATTTGCTCAAGGGCACCTCTAGTAAATGACAGGACCAAGATGAAGTGTCTTTCTGCTAAACTTTGCTTACTTCCCTCATTGGTGTAATAGAAAAAGTTCTTGTCCAGGAAAGCATGGGTTAGTCATCCCCTAACAGAATGCTATCAGGGACTGACATTGGTAGCTATTGCAATTCATAGCTTACATACGAGAGGATATCAGCTGCAGTTGATTGCCTGATAATCCACCAGGCTCTTATGTAGAACTCAGTTTCTTGATATAGGAAATGATATGAACTCATTTTAGGTTCTTGAGCTAAAGAGAAGCATGAAGAAAGTAATTTGAGGAAGCCTACTTTCATGTTAGTATATGAAAGGGACTGAGTAAAAGTACTCTGTCCAACTAAAGGCTATTCTGGTAATCTGGATGGGAGGTGGTGGCTTGGAATATGATGATGGCAGTGCTAACGGAAAGGAAAAGATGGACTCAGAGCATTTTAAATTGAAAATGTAAAAGACGTGACTGACTGAATTTTGAATAAATAAATAAAAAAAGACTTTGTGAACTTCAGCGATTTGAAAGGAAACCTGATACAGAGGGCAGGCGATGTGTTTGAGGCAATTAGCAGATCTAAAGTAAGCGGTTGGCCATCCTGGGCTGGGGCTCCAGTGAGAGGAGTACCAGAGAGTTACAACTATGTCAGGGTGGATGCTATGAGAGAAATGAGAATAGCAGAGGAACAGAGAATTGAACTTTTATATAAGTTATTGTGGAATAAGAGAGGACAATAAAAGAGGAAACTCAGAGGGAAAGGTAGATTATAAGGTCATAGACTCCAGGGAGGGTGTTATTGATACCAAGTATGGCCAAAAAATTAGGGATAATGAGAATTTAACTTCTTCCTGTTTATTTTTAACAGGGGGAGGGATGTCATTAGTGGAACTAGCTGAAAAGTTATCATTAGTATCACGAACACTTTAAAAAAAAAAGTTTTTGTTGATTTTAGAGAGAGAAGAAGGGGGGGGAGAGAGAGAGAGAGAAACAAACATCGATCGGCTGCCTCATGCACACCCACTACTGGGGATGGAGCCTGAAAACCCAGGCATGTGCCCTGACCTGGAATCGAACTGGAGACCTTTTGGTGCATAGGACAATGGCTCCATCAACTGAGCTGCAGTGGCAAGGGCAAATCATGAACACTATTTTTATTATATTAGTTTCAAGTGTACTGCATAGTGGTTTAGAAATTGTCAATATTATAATTTCCCTTTCCATTTAATTTTTTCTTTAATTTCAGACTGTGATAGATGCCAACATTTTCCCAGCCCTCATTAGTATATTACAAACTGCTGAGTTTCGGACAAGGAAAGAAGCAGCTTGGGCCATCACAAATGCAACTTCTGGAGGATCAGCTGAACAGATCAAGTAAGTACTAGCCAGGTAGCATCTTACAAGTTAAAGGAAAAATTATTTTTTCTACCAGTTAAAAATGCTCCATTCTAGCCTTGTGGAAGATGATTCTCAGTTTCATAATTAGACTCAAGTATGTATTTTATTCCTTATACCTTTCCCATGACTTCTTGCTGAAACAGATTCTGGGTTGTGGGAAGTCAGGCAAAGTTGAGGTTTGAAGCAGCAGAAAAATTATAGGGGTGGCTTCAGCCCACTCTGGAGCTGCTTGGTCAGAAACATCTTGAGTAATCTAGAAGGTTACTTGTAGAATCCTTAGAGTACAGCTTTAATAGCTAACTCTTGCTATTTCTAGTTATATGTCTTAATTGGACCAGACTTGAAAGAGAGGTATATCTTAGGGTAAAGTGCCAAATTCAGTAGAGGCAAGTGTCTCCTAAAGTACTATAGTATTCAGTAAAGTGAGAGATACCTGTATTAGCTTGAGACTTAAATGGCCCCTTGGGTAGCAGCTTATAATCTTAATGGCTAAAAAAGGCATATATGTGGGTAGGAATCATAGAAAAGAATGAAATCTTACATTTGTGACATTATGGATGGACCTAGAGGGTATTATACCAAGTGAAATAACTCAGGGAAAGACAAATACCATATGATTTCACTTACATGTGGAATCTAAAGGACAATATAAATGAAAAATATATATAAAGAAAATAGAAACAGACTCATAGGTACAGAGAACAGACTGAGAGTTGCCAGAGGGGAGGAGGGGCTTGGGGGACAGTGAAAAAAATGAAGGGATTGAGAAGTACAAATGGGTAGTTACAAAATTGTCATGAGGATGGGATGTGAAGTACAGCACAGGGAATATAGTCAATAATATTGTAATAACTATGTATTTGGTGCCAGGTAGGTATTGGAAATAGCAGGGAAACACTTCGTTAAAGTTTATATCATTGTCTAACCACTATGCTGTACACCTGAAACTAATACAAAATAATATGGAATATAAGCTGTAATTGGGGAAAAAAAAGAATATGGATAGAAATTAATTCCTCAAAAGAATATTTTATAATTAAATGCTAAATTATGGACATTCAGTATTTCAGATAGAATAAACTGAGTAGTGAAGAAAAAAATGGATCCTTGCCTTAACTTTATGGGGAATTCAGATGAGGGGAAGATGGTTTTGAATGAGTTAAAACATCAGCCCCTTCCTTATCTGTAGTATCTGGGAAACAGCTACCTCTCATACTGTTGCTTTGTTGGTTAAATGTAGGCTGAACCAATGCTAATTTTTAGTGCTCTGTTGAAAATTTAAAAATGAAAAGGTAAAGTAATTCTAACATTTTTAGAATTTGATCAGGTACGAAAGATAAGAAGTATTTACCTGAAATAATAAAATTATAAATAGGTTAACACATGCAGTAGCTATTTTGGTAAAGTACATCATGGACAGGTTATTCATGGAAGACTTTCAAGTGGTCTTGTATGAGGTTAGGTCTTTTTCAACTTCCAAGATTCTGGTTCTGGGGTATAGCTAGTCCTTGAATACCGTTTTGTTATAGTGTAGAAACTTAACTCTTGTTTATATCAATGAGCCTATGGCAAAATTGGTTTTGTTATGTGTTGTTTCACGTAAAGTTGCAGAATCTATGGACAGTGTTAAGTGAGGACTTAATGTATGTACTATGATTGTAAGTATACCACCACCAGATGGCAGTAATGTACAATACTATAGAAGTTGTTTGAAGCATTGATAGTCAAGTTTTATGTTCAAATTCAGATTTATAATTATTAGTGGTCTCTTCATTGTATACCAAATCTATTTTTTTAATTGAAGTGGTTAAACTGTACACATACATATTTTTAAAACATTTCTAATATATGTGGTAGCTTTCATCAGAAAGTATTTAGAGGTATTTCACTCTATTAGAGAAGAGTAGAATGGCTACTATCCTGTTTAAAATCTGGCGTAGCTATTTATAATAAGTTAGTTTTCAATATCCTAGTAGTTTCTTCTTAACTAGATAAAGAATTTTCTTAAGATTAACAAAAATATTATAGTCCAAAATACAGAAAATAAACTGGTTTTATCTCTGATAAAGATATGTGTGGCTTCTGCTCATTCTGGTTGGGAAGACAAGATTTATATGCAAGAACCAGTTAGAATAACTTAGAAAATATCCATAATTCTATGTTAAATTAATCAAATACAAACATACTATTCTTAAGAATGAGGTATAAAGAATATTGCCTGGAATTAGAGAGAGTTTCATGTAAGAGGTGAAAGTTGTCATTTGGGTAGAGGTTTGGCAGTTTTAGAGGAGAGAGAATAGCATGAGGGAATATGCACAGTAAATGTTACTGGAAGAGGTAAATCAGTCTTGTTGCTATAGATTAGAAAGTCTTAGTCCTGGGAAGACTTGGAGTGAAAGAAAATAGTCTTTTGAGGAGAGGAAAGACAGCAATTCAGATGCCATTGCATTAGTTTAGTGTACAGTGATGGCCACGATGAAGATAATAGCTGTAGCGTGGATATGTATCTCAGCATGGGAAAGCAGGGTCTATAGGACTTAGTGGCAGGCTATAGGTAACAAAGGAAAGGGAAAAGTCAGAGATGACTGGGGAAAATGTTGGTGCTGTTGATAAAAATTAGGACACAGAGGAAGCAAAATCCTATTTGAAGGTGATGGTTTTAGACACAGTGAGTTTATTGCTCAGCTGAAGAAATCTGATTTTATCAGTTCTGTCTCTCAAAGCTCACTTTCCTCCATTCTAGAGTATGTGGATTTCTTCCCCATAAATTTCTCCTTCCTGAAGGAACTCCTAAATGTAAAATTACCAATTAGATCAGCCCTCTCAGGTTTGAGACATTGATATAATTTGAGAAATATAATTCACTTTTCCAGATAATGTATTCTTATGGAATAAATTTCCTGACCCCGAAAATTTTCTTAAGTAGCCTTTTCTGCCACAAAAGCCAGCTGGCGTTGATGACCAGTGCCCAGTTTACTCAGTTGTTCGAAATGTACCACCCATAGGAGCCACTCCCAGATTTAACCATAGAATTGTGCTTGCTTTCCATGCAGTTTTCCAGTCATCTTTTCAAGTCTTCACACTTCTGAGGGTTTTCTCAAAATAATAAAGCTTTCCAACTCCTACACAGCCCAGATGCCGTGGTCACGTGTCTTGCATTTAGGTGCAGATTGTTGTCTTTAGAAAAATTTGCATCAGTAGTGAAATACCACTATGGTAGTCTTTAAATCTTTAGTGGTTGCGTCAGAAAATAACACCTGAAATTCCTTCTGATCTTGTAAGGTATTTAAGGAATAGTAGTAGTATCTTTTGACTCAGTGATGCCACCACTGACCTGAAAGCAAATTGTCATCTGCTGTTTGTTTGCATCTGGTAATCTACATTAAAATATTTTAAATGGCTAGAATTCAGAACCCAAAACTCTTTAAATGAATAATGCCAGAATACAAAGTACTGATATTATATTTTCCAAATAAAATCTACTCATCTTCAGAAAGCTGGATTTACTTATTAGCATATTTTGGGGTAGAGTTTTTTTAATATTTGAGTCAATAATCTTGTAGTTCATTTTTAAATTATTCATTTATAAGTTCTAGAAGCTTTCTAAGAACCTTAAAATTTGTTTTCAGTCTTCAATCAAGTTTTTAGTACACTGGTTTTCATAAGCACCAATGTTACCAAACTAAATGAACTTTTAAAGGTAATGTAAGGGTCAGAGGTGAGCCAGGATTTTTAGTGGGAAGAAGATCACATCAAGAGCAGACCATGATCAAGTTTGAGGACAATTTGGAGATCGTGAACAAGTCTCTGAAATACCTATTGGTGTTCAATAGACTTGCCTATGTAGGCCAGTGAAGTTATAAGTGCAGACATGTAAGTCATCTATTTAATCAGCCACTATAAAATTTTGCTGTGGTTTTGTGACATAATGAATCTGTGGTTCCCAGATTTTTCCAGTTGAGGAAACTGAGGCACAGACAGCTCAAATAACTTTCCCAAAGTCATCCAGCTTGTAAATAGCACAGCGTGAATGTAATAGTGGTGGTTGTCTCTGGGTACTTTTTATCTTTCTCAGTGCTTTTTGTGTTTTCTAAATTTGCAACAACACATATTGACAATTATAAAAGAGGCTTGGTGTTTGTTTTTAAGAAAAATAATGAGAGCCCTGGCCAGGTAGCTCAGTTGGTTAGAGCCACGTTCCCATACACCAAGGTTGTGGGTTCAGTCCCCAATCAGGGCATATACAAGAATCAGCCAGTAAATGCATAAATTAGTGGAACATCAGCAACAAAAAAAGAGGGATAAAAAGAAAAATAACAAGAATTATATAGGTATGTTGAAGAAAAGGTTCACTAAAAATTGGTACAAAGGAAGGGGAAATGGTCAGCAATGGCTTTAAGGCTAGATAACTGACCTATTCTGTTCATAGCAATGTAGTTTTAATTGTCAGAAAGTATTTAAATAAAATTAGGCACAATATTGTTACATTTACTCCTAAGTAAATAATAATGCTAAATAAGACATAAAACTACTTCTTAAAAAAATTAAGACTTTTTTTACAATGTTTTTAGATTTATAGAGAAATTGAGATAATAGTACAGAGTAGAGTTCCTATTATAACGGGTGGGGGCCATATTCGGCCCCTGAAATCATGTGGTCTGGCCCTGCCAAGGCAACTGCAGGCAGGACCCAAAATTCAATAAATCTAGGAGCTTTTTTCATAGCTAATTTTTAAGTTGGTAATTTTGAATGGCCCATGAATGATGTTATAAATATCCAAGTGGCTGTTGGCAGAAAAAAGGTTCCCCACCCCTGCTATATACCTTCATCACCTGCACAATTTCCTCTATTAACATCTCTCATAGTGTGGTTACATTTTTTAGAGTTAATGAACTACTAGTGATACATTATTAACTAAAGTTCATAGTTTATATTAAGGATCACTCTTTCTGTTGTACAATTCCACAGGTTTTGATGAATGCATGTCATGTTTCCACCATTGTGTCATACAGAATAATTCACTGCCCTAAAAATCCCCTCTGCTTCACCTATTCATCTACTCCCACCCTTGAAATCTCTGGCAACCACTACTATTTCTGTTGTCCTTACAAAAATTTTACCTTTTCCAGAATGTCATATATTTGGAATCATAGTGTGGAGTCTTGTTACACCAGCTTCTTTCACATAGTAATACGCGCTTAAGGTTACTTCATGTTTTTTCATGGCTTGATTGCTCATTTATTTTTCTTTTTATTGCTGAATAATGCTCCATTGTCTGGGTGGACTACTATTTATCCATTTCACCTATTGAAGGACATCTTGGTTGCTTTCAGTTTTTGGCAGTTATGAATAAAACTTGTAAATATTGGTGTATAGGTTTTTGTATGGACATAAGTTTTTATCTCAGTTGGGTAAATACTTAGGAGTACGATTGCTGGGATTGTATAGAAAGCTTTGTAAAAAATTGACAAGCTGTCTTCCAAAGTGGTTTATCCTAATTTGCATTCCCACCGACAAAAAAATGAGTTTCTCTTCCACGTCCTTGCCAGGATTTGCTATTGTCAGTGTTTTGGGTTTTATTCATTTCAGTAGGTATGTAGTATCATTGTTGTTTTAATTTGCAGTCCAGTAATGACACAGAGTGTCCCAAAAAATGTATACTAACTTTAACAGCTGATTCTATTACATTTTGAAAAATGTATTTTAACAAACACTGCCTTTATAATTACTCAGAGTTTATATACATTTTTGGGGAGACTTGGGCTACTCTGTATATGATATTGAGCATCTTTTCATATGCTTATTTGCCATTAGTATATCTTTGGTGGGGTGTACGTTCAAATCATTTGCCCATTTTTTACGTTGAGTTGATTTCTTATTTTAATTTTTAAGAGCTTTTTGTACAAAATAGAATGGCCCTTGGGCCTATTGTGTTGTGCTGACTTTTGCAGTAGGTGTGTCATGTTTCAGAGGTGCAGTTACCTATAGAAGCAAAGATGAAATGAATCAAAATTACTCTATTTTATGAGTTGCTCATATTCAAAGAAAGAGAGTATTCCTGGAGTCCAATAATTGTGGAAGGAAAAAAGAATGGAACTGACTGCTAGAGAACTGGTTTTCATTTCTTTGTGTGTTTTTTGTGTGATAAGGTGTAGCTTGTATGGGTGCCTATTTTTATCTCTAGTCAGGTTGAAGATGACCTTTCCACCAACCTAATAAGTTTTATTGAATTAAAAGCTTTGTTTGACTAAATCATTCTTTTTCTTAATTTAGGTACCTCGTAGAACTGGGTTGTATCAAGCCACTCTGTGATCTCCTCACAGTCATGGACTCTAAGATTGTGCAGGTTGCCCTAAATGGCTTGGAAAATATCCTGAGGCTTGGAGAACAAGAAGCCAAAAGAAACGGCACTGGCATTAATCCTTACTGCGCTTTGATTGAAGAAGCTTATGGTAAGATAGAGTATTGATCAGATGTCCTGAAATTATTTTCTTTTTCTCTTTGCTTTTCTGGCCTGTCCATATCTGTCATCAGCAAACGCATACAAAAAATTGTTCTCTTACGAATGATAATGTTTAGTATGTAGAACTGGAAAAGAAAATGTATTGTAAATATGAAGAGAATTGAGTACCCTTCACTTTAGCTAGTTTTACACTGGCCTCTTAGGATCTTCGCAGTTCCCTGACTGCTTTTCCTGTGGGTGCTCTTCCTTGTCCGTCTGCGTCTCAGTAGCATCCATATCTACTCTAGGTGACGCCTGACTCCCTTTCTCTTGTAAGATTGAGAGTTCTGATTTTACATTGCACCCCCTAGCTTTCTGTGTTCCTAAAGAGTTCCTGACTTTAAAGGTTTCTAAGAATTTCATCTTAAAGAGTCACTTGGTTTCCTCATTCTTCTAAATCTCAGTCTAAATTGTATTCTTAATCATCAGTTTACCAAGGTACTTTAACCTTTTAAGTTCCCTGAGTGATTTTAATGCATAGCCTGGGTTAAAAACCACTGTTCTGGGGTTTATTCCTGAAATTAGAATTAGGAGTCATGGGGGGTACATTCAGTTTTCAAATTTATCAGCTAATTCAGAATTGTTTTCTAAATGATTTTAACAATTTATTTTTAAAAAACATGATTATATAAATATACCTACTTAGTGTAAGGGATTTTGAAATATATAAAAAAGAAAAATGGTTTTTATCCAGAGGTCTTTCTCCACAGAGATAACTATTGTTACTTTTTAAATTTATATATATTTTAATATGGATATTAAAATGAATATATATTTTTACCTTTGAGCAATGTTAATATTTATTTCCGGTATTGTTATAGCTGCCAGACTGCTTATGGATGCAACTAAAAGAAAGCCTAGCTCAGATGGGCTTGCACTTAAAGGAAATATGTTGGCTAATTGTTCTAGTCTTTTAAGTTTAGGCAGTAGAAACAGATTCTGACTGAGTTAAGGATATTACACATTCGTTGAAATGATACTGGATATCTCAGAGCCTAGGTAGATAGAACTAGAGCCAAGAATTCATTAGGCCATAGGTACTGTCCAGTAGGAAGGAACTATAATGCGACTGGCCCTTGGCACTGGATGATGTGCTGACTGTTACAGAAATTGCTGTTTCTGGGGACTGGCTGTTGTTTGCATATGGGTTTAAGGTATCAGTTTGTAATACTGTACTAGCATTCAGATGTAATCCCCAACAATACTTTCTGTGCTATACAGAATTCATATGAGATAAAAGTGGAGAAAAGAGTCTTTACCTCAAGGAAGGAGACATTGCTTCATTGGAATTTCCTACAGATAAACAACAGATTTTCCTTTATTCTGTATTCTAGGTCTGGATAAAATTGAGTTCTTACAGAGTCATGAAAACCAGGAGATCTACCAGAAGGCCTTTGATCTTATTGAGCATTACTTCGGTACCGAGGATGAGGACAGCAGCATTGCACCCCAGGTTGACCTTAGCCAGCAGCAGTACATCTTTCAGCAGTGTGAGGCTCCTATGGAAGGCTTCCAGCTTTGAGGCAATTCACTGCTTTCATGTTCCTGTGTCAGACCAGGCTACCCAGTCTCGTCCTCTTGTGGAGCCCACAGTCCTCATGGAGCTGACTTCTCAAATGTTTTCCATAATACTGTTTGCGCTCATTTGCTTGCCTTGCGCACCTGCTCTCTTACACACATCTGGAAAACCTCTGGCTCTCTGTGGTGGAATACCCTTCTAAGAAAAGAGTAACCAGAACAGCCCACTCTTAAGGAAAATCCCTAGGCTTTGGAGATCCGCACGTCTATATTATAAGAGTCACGGGAATATACACATATTAATGTGGCTCTGTTTTTGTTTTTTTGGCGGAAAAAAGAGGACTCCTCATTCCCTTTTAAGTGGGAAAAAATACTGACATTAAAAAGATAAGACTAAAACTTTATCTTGAATTTCACACAACTACTTGCAACAAGGGAGATATTTAGACCTGTTGTGTATACTTCAGAGTACTTTTCATGAGTTCTTCCACAGTGAACCCTTGGATTACCTGGTGGCTTTTTCTAGCCAAATTGCATTAATTCTTACTGAGATTGGATGGTTTTCTTTCCTCTGTTGGCGCCATTCTTCACAGATATTAAAGTTAAACCATCTGCTCTCTCACCTTCAGCCTTCAGTGAATGTGCTTTCTAGTTGTCAGGAATGCTGAAGAATTAATACTTTGATTTTCAAATGTGATACTGGTTTGAAGATTTCCTTAGAGCAGAAAGCAGAGGGGCACATATTAATTTGTGTGGCTGTTGCTTCTCTTTGGTCTTCTGTGTCTTAGGATTTAAAAGTGGTTAAATTCTAATGCTGGTTGAAGATTGATTTAGAATCCTTAGTAATCGAAACCATATTCTGTAATTCAATAGCAAAACAAAAAGCAAACAAAAGACCCCCTCCAATTTTCCCAAACTTAACCAGTGTGATTAGAGGCTGTGTTTCTGCATTTAAACAGATGTTTCAGGCTTTGTGGTCCTGATAAGGTCCTCATTAAATTGGAGTTCACCCTAGGTGCTTTTCCCCTCTGTGACTGGCAGAGAACACATACTTTTAAAGGTTACTTAGGGACTTTTTTTTCTTACTGGGTGCAGCTTGATTTTAATGTATTCATGCTGCCCACATGATCCCTTTAATGTAGCATCCTTACCTTGAACAAATAGCTATCTTCTCAACATGACCTGTTTAACCCAAGTAAGGGCAGTGATCTTTTTCTTACAACCTCTTTATCCCCTGATCATTTCATCTCCTACTAGCTGGTATTGCCCAGCCAAGTTGCCCTCCCCTGTCATGAAATAAAGTTTCTACCTTCTGACTCATTTCATGATGACTGCAATATGTACCTGCAAAAGGCGCTTCCAGTACTGTCTTCAGTGATCTTCATTTGTGCTTGGACTGGAACGAAAAAATAGCTTAATTGCCAAGAGAACTGCAACTGAACATACGACTTCTCGGTGCTAGTTGGCCATCTTGACTCAATGTTGGGACACACTATTGGAGATTTATATTTGTTGATGTGCTGTTCAGAATGAATTCTGAAGGAAAAGTTACTCATTTCTGTTTTCGAGAATACCCTTTTAATACTCTTTAACCCTGTTCTCTTCTAGAATTTTAACCCCAAAGTGTAACGTTTATTTGCAAGTTCCCCTGACAAACTATTATACATCTCTGGTAAATCCTGCTGAATGTTAGGGATATTCAGAGCTTTCGTACCTCATCATGTTGTCATTTAAGCAGTCAACTTATATGACCTGATTTAGACTTTTAAAAAATCCACTTCATTTAAAGTAGAAAGATAAAAACAAAGGACATTTCAGCCAAGCCTATGACACAGCCTTCGCATCTAGCCTGTAGTCTTGTCTGTGCTCTGGATGGATACCGTCTGATGTCTGTCCATCATTGATGGAACAGTCACTGCAAAACTAGTCAACTCTCATTTATAACTGTTACTTTATCTAGTGCTGCTTTGTGCTCAAAGGACATTTTAGTTTACTGCACTTGACCTGTAAAAGACTTTGATTCTTTGTAATTTTAGGGACAAGTTAGGTGGTTAATTTAAAGAAAAACTTTCAATGTTGCCTTGACATCACATTAAAATATAACTTCTTTCAGAAGGTTAATAGAAGCACTGATTCATAGTAAAAATCTTGTTTTTAGCTTTGAATTTTTTTTGTGGCTGAGTTTTTTAAAATTGTAAATTACTGGTAACATGTCATTTCTCTAGGATGTTTAAATTTATGTACCTTCTGTTGGATAATTTTAATAATTTTCAGTTCATGTTGATAAACCAATTTGAATGGAAAAAATATAAAGCACACAAAGTTGTTTCTCCAAGTTAGAATAGCATACGTTGGAAATTTTTGCTAGCAATTGCAGGTGTCTCAATGAATGAATGAATTAAAACGGTCCACTCAACTGATGTGGTCTATTTTCTGTTTAAAACAGAGGAATTTATCTTGCTCCTGTCCTAGAAGTTCATGAGTCATGAGATAGGAGCTAAATTTTTTTTAGAATAGAATTTTTTTTTTAAATATAAAAATTGGAATTGACCAAAAGTTAAATCCAGCATAACTATTAGAACTGAGAAAGCCTTTTTTTGGTAATAGAAATGACATTTCAGAAGGTAACTATAAGTCCTATTTTTAGTTCTGTGCCTGGCAGGTTCTATTAATTTATTTTCAATATATTGAATATACCCTATCACTAAGCTGTTACTCATTACAAAAGCATGTTAATTTCAACACAGGAAAACTGGTTTTATATACGGAGGAGGGGGAAAGTGGCTTGATTCCCTCTGCCCCCTTTTTTTCTCCTTCAGACTTTCAGGTATAGTCTTCATAATGAGAACTTCAGTGGGGGAAAAGCATTGAGAAGATTTGGGAGTAAAGGCACCTTGTATCTGAAGGACCAGAAGGTAGATATAATTATATTGGGAGATATTGGGAAAGGTAAAGATGATAGATGTGCAGAATGGTGAGATTTAGGAGATGGAGTTTTCCGTGAAACACATTAGTTCGTATTCTTGTCACTAAGTAGTTACCTTTGTCAGCTGTACTACTATTGAAAACTAGATTACCCTAGGATTGTTTCTTCCATCTGCCAAATAAAACTGGGTCATTTTCATCACAGATGTAAACATTGACAATTATCCCGTAATAAATCTGAATTATCCCAGATTGTTGCTGATTTTGCCTAAGAAAATAGTATATTTTATAAACCAAACTTCCCCACCTAAATCCTTTGTTGTACATGGCTATCCACAGGCAACTTTGAATTTACTTCTCTAGTGTTAAATAAATATTTTAGTTATTTAATCCCCTAATTTGGGATTGTATTATGAAGGTTTACCTCGGGTTGAAGGATTTTTTTTTCTTGCTGACTAGTTTTGTGAACATTTATTATTAATAGATAAGTCATGGCCGTTTAGAAGTCGGTTTACAGTTGTGAGTATGGGAGACAGTATTGTTTTATTGTATTTTCCATATGAACAACTGGAAACCTATGTTTGCCATACACTGTGTGTTAGAAAATTGTGATGTCTAAGGGTGATGTCCAGTAAAGAAAAGAGGTCTACTTTTAGAAAGGGGCATTGTTTGTTTTTCATATAAGCTATATGCTACTTCCTACATTCCAGATTTTGCTCATTTGCAGTGATAGGTGTCCCTACACATGGGAGTCTCATCTGAATTTTTTGCCATCTGAAATTAACAAAGCCGTTTTATTCTATTGTGAGGCGAGCAGATATATATATCCAGTAAGGAAATATTTGGCCTACCTTATCAAAAGTTATATATAAAAGTAATTAAATGCCAGGCGTAGCACTAACAAGTACAGCAAATCTAGTCCAACATGAGGAATATTCTGTGTTTTAATGTCAGAAAGGATAGGCAGTAACAGTGGGTATCAGGGCATTAGAATAATGTGATCAAGTGAAACAAATATTAAATGCTAATTTTAACATCAAATTGCTTCTGGATATAAATGTATCTGGAAGTTTGGAGTAAGAAGAAAGCATTAAGGGTAACTGAAGTTCCATCCTGTTTTCAACTAAGGGGAGACAAGTCCCAGTGTGTTTCCTTACGGGTCAGATAAAGAGAACTATTTTAGCCCCTGTTGCGTTCCCAGTCCTTGGCTGAGGGCTTTCACTTGTTCTCATTTAATCCTCCAGCTGCTTTTTGAGGTGGCTAGTTGTCGCTATGCTCTAGGTGACAAAATCAAGACTTAGGAGGATTTACTTTGCCTGAGATCACAACCGTTAGATACTGTCAATCCAAAGATGGGGAAGAGTCTTGCAGGTTTTATGTCAAAGCAAGCAGCAGTCACGGTGGAGGTGTTCTGTGCCGGGAACTCCCAGAGCTAGACTTAGCCGCCACAGCTGGGCCAGCTTTTTTTGGTGGGCCATTCTTTCTGAATCTTCCTCAGCAACAGCACCCTTCAAGTGACTAAATCAGGTATAACTTACTTTAAGGTTACATATTGTGTGTAGACCCTCTCGGCCCAAACATCTTTCCCCTTCTGTGGTGCTAAAATTGTGTATGGCTCCACCAATAAACAAATTTTAAAATAATACACAAATAATTGATTTTGAGTTAACTAAGCATAGTGGCTGCTAAACTCAGAGCATATTTCCATTCAACAAACTCACAAGTAGAAGGTATAGACATAGAATGAAAGGCTTTGGAATGAAGAGTCCTGCCTTAGAAAGCGGTGCCATCCATGGATGTGAATTTAACACAGCTGACTTCCTAAAGGAATATCGTCCCAAGGAGTGTCAAAAAGATCACCTTTTAATGTATGCTGTTGAGTATGTTCCACTTACCTCATCATTTTAACCACTCTATGCCCTTTTTCAAAGTGTTCTTATACTTTGGAATGGCTCTAATGATTCTTTGTGCTTGAATGCAGTATGTCAGGCCATGGGTGAGTGCCTTGCACCTATTAGACCTTCAATAAATACTAAGTGAAGGAAAATGTATCTATGTGATATTAGTAAAGGGTAGTTGGTTACAAAAAAGTTCAAAGGAATTTATGCTGCTGTTTGAAATTAGGATTAACAACTCCTAAAGCTATTGTCTTAAAATGTGTTTTTTAACCTTTCAGGAAACATGATTTGACCTGAAGTTTACAAAAGCAAACATTGTCATAGCAGAGGTTGGTTATATAAAAACAACCTATGCCTTCAGAGAGAAATTAATGGGTATATTTTACAGGATAGGATGGCTAATATAAAATCAACCCCATTTGTTTATATATACTAAAAATGGTTCACCAGTCTTCTGGCACAGTGTAAGGTTAAAAACTTGGCCAATTATATCCAACTGATGTGGAAGTTGGTGGTTGCCTTAGACTATTAAATAGGGTTTTCTTATTTTTACAAATATGTATTGGTGCATGAGAACATTATCCATTCCTCCAGTTTGACAGATCAGTAGAAACAGAAAGATGGTGTATTTCCTCATTACATGATTGCTTCTCTACTATTTTTGAGAGATTCCACTGACCACCTATTTTTTTCTGAAAACAAAAGAAAATCTTAAAGCAAAACACAGCCTTATTTCCTGCAGACTACACTCGTCTATAGTACAAAATTGTTGGGTTTATAAGTTTACTGTAGCCAGCTTAGATGATTGTTGCCCCTATTTCATTTGCCATTTTGAAAAAGTCTTGTTTTAGAAAAAAAGTAATTTCTGCCCCAGGCTGGGTGTGGCTCAGCGGTTGAGCGTCGACCTGGGATCCAGGCGATCAGGGTTCGATTCCCAGTCAGGGCACATGCCCGGGTTGCGGGCTTGATCAATGACTCATCATTGATGTTTCTCTCTCTCTCCCTCTCCTTTCCTCTCTCTGAAATCAATAAAGATATGTTAAAAAAAAAAAAAAAAAAGTCATTTCTGTGACATTGAATTTTTTCCCAAAGAATAAAGGTACTCTTTAAATTCTTTTCTATACCCATTTAACCTGAGGAAGCCAATGAAGTCCAGCAGTGTGTGTCCACAATATGGGTCACTTCCTTACCTAAACCACTTGGGCCCAGCATTACTTAGTAGAGTGATGGGGAAGGAGAAAGTAGAAACCCAGACGACCACTGTGGTGGGGAGAGAACAGTACCAGGTTTGAGAGAGATCTTGGCAGGCTGGGGTGTAAAATGCCATAAAAGGAGTGTAGAACTTTGCCAGATTAAGTTGTGATTATGAGGAGAGTCCTCTTGAGAAGTCAGCAGTGGCTGTACTGGTTTGTTGGGGGCAGTCCCAGTTTTTGGATCAATTAACACCTGTTAATTATTTTAGTGCCTCCTTTCACTTTAAGAAAGTCTAAGGTTTGGTAAGTTACATGGCCAGCCCATATTTAAGCCCAAGTAGATTTTCATATGTTTAAATTGCTGGTGGTCTAAAACAACTGGATATGTACACAGTTCTATTAAGCTTGATTTTTGAGGACCGGATTTGGTCATCAGAGTTACTACTACAAAGCAAGTCAGTCAAGATGGCCCCGAATGTTGGAAATCACTCCCAGACAATGTTTAGGTCTGAAACACATACCGAAAAAAATTTCTTTTTATTAAAAAACAACCATAGGCCCTGACCGGGTAGCTCAGTTGGTTGGAGCATCATCTCCATATGCCAACAACATTGGGGCTTCAATCCCTAGTCAGGGCACGTACACAAAACAACCAATGGATGCATAAATAAGTGGAACAATCTCAATCTCTCCCTCTCCCCCCTCCCCCTCCCTCTCTCTCCTCTCTCAAATCAATAAATTAAGTACCCTGGCCTGTGGGGCTCAGATGGTTGAAGGTAGTCCCATACACCAAAAGGTCACTGGTTCAATTTCTAGTCAGGACACACTCGAGTTGTGGGCTCGGGCATGGGAGGCAACCAATCAATGTTTCTCACATTGATGTTTCTCCCTCTCCGTCTAAAATCAATTGAAACATTTTTATCAAGAGATTGATTTTGGTACTAAAATTTTTTCAATCAAGTTCTAGGAAAACGAAAATTATTTTTCTGGATAGTCCTGTCAACACATCTTGTGTGCCTCCTTTCCCTCATGATTGTGGTATTTCTAGTGGACTACACTCCTGCATCAACAACCCACCCTAGTCCTCATGTTATATGTTTACCTTGCCTAATTTTCTTTCTCTACCCTCCTAGTGTGTAGAACAGTTACTGGAAAAGTAGATTTGCTTAAATTTTTTGAAACGAAGCCTACACTTTGCTTTCTGAAGTGCTTTTAAATTTAATGAGTTAATTAAAATGGAAGTGATTTCAATTGATGCAGAATTTAGAGTGATTCTAAATTTCCCAGTAAAAAGTCACACTAATCCAGGCTAATGGGAGGATAGGAGAGGGAGGAGGCAGAGTTTAATCAGAATTGAACTTTAAGATACAGTACAGTGAAAAAGCTTTGTCTTTTAAAAATGTTACAGAGGGGAGGGAGGTCCATGTTATCTAAGAAGAGTCGTGTATAAATGGAAGCTCCAAACCATTTAAAAAATGCTCTTCCCATTCCCAGCACCCCCTCATTGTGTTTCTCTCATTGATTTGCACTAGCTAAGACTAAAGCATTTGTGCAATTTCTGTATAAATTCCAAACTAAAGTAGTAGGGTCTTAAAGTAATGAGGTTTTTCCTATAGTTGATGATTATAGGTGATCTAATTGTGCTGTTGTACCTTATAAAGGCAAGACTTGAGATTATCCCTTACATGGTTGGAAACCCTTTATTTCTAAATGGTTTTTTTTTTAATCCTCACCTGAGGATATTTTTTCATTGCTTTTCAGAGAGAGTGGAAGGGAGGGTGGAGAGAAAGAAGAGAGAGAAACATTGAGAGAGACATCGGTTGGCTGCCTCCCGCAGGCACCAACCGGGCCCCTTCAGTCCAGGGGCGGAGGCGCTGACCACGGAGCAACCCGACCAGGGCATGTTTTAATTACTGACCGACAGAAAGCAGGCGGGGAGCTCGGCTCTGGGGAAAATCTTTTAAAACAGAACACTTACTCAGGCACTCTTTATTGGGCAATTAGAGGATTGGAGAAACTACCAATTTGTTGGTAAACCTATTTTTGTTTTAAAGAGAGTCAGTGACACCTGAAAAACATGTACAGTTTAACACCTTCAAGTCCATTACTCATTTCTTAAAACTAGGGTAAGCTCTCTAACGCCTAATTATGAGCAACCTTACACATTCCTCGCCCCATTCCACCAACTACTTTGTTCTTTTCTGTCTCAAGCACCTATGCAGATCTGAACTTTTCTTAATTTTCTTTGGAAGCTTAAACCGTAAAGAGGGGCTAAAACGACGTTTACTCGGTTTCCCCAGCACGACCATGTGCATGCGCTGGCCTTTAGAGGCCCCTAACACATTCTTCTGCCTTCCCTAAACGTTTAGGGAATACGTTACTATTTATTCTTTTTATTGTTTTTAGAGAAAGAGGGAGAGAGGGAGGGGGATGGAGGGGGAGAGGAGGAGGAAGAGGAGGGAGAGAGAAAAACATCCATTTGTTCCACTTAATGCTTTCATTAGCTGATCCTCAAGTGCCCTGACGGGATGTGTCTGTAACCTTGGCGCTCTAACCAACTGAGGTCCCCGGCCAGGGCTTTTAAAGAACACTTGAAAACCAGAAGTCGCTGCTCCTCCTGCCTATTTGCAGCCTTGCTGTACACGCCCCCAAGCTCTGCACCACAAGGAGAAGGGAGCAGAACCAAAGCCACCCGCGAAGGAGCTCACCGTGGTCACCGGCTCTGGGTGGGCCGACCACCGCAGCTGCATTTCCAAGATGTGCCCGTCTGGGCAGCTCGCGTCCCAAATGTAGGCTTAACCCTGAGGCTACGGGCAGGGGAAAATGCAGTCCTTTCTTGTGACACGGTTTACAAAAGGAAACAAATGTGTGCGTTACGTAGTCACTGCTGGCCAGTCAGCTGTGGTACATTCTCGTTCACCTTCCTCCGGGGCTAAGGCTGCTTAGCGTGCTTCCGTGAGGAAGGCAGGGGCGAAGAAGACCGGAAGGAAACCCGGCTTTTTTGCGCAAGCGCACGAAAGCCTATCCCCATTGGTCACTTCACGCAGAAGTAGGGGGAGGGCTTCCTCTGCGCATGCGCTCGGTGTCACGCCCGCTGTCTAAACAACTGACCTGGCGGCGAGGACTAGTTTGTATCTGCCGAACGTAGCCGGCTGGCCCGGGACTCAAGTACCGGTGTCTACGCAGATTTCCTCTTAGCTTCTGAAATCTTCTGTTTAAAGCGGTGCTGCACTCATACTCAAGTGCCTAAAGTATGTCAGACTGGTAGGGTTGCTCAGTGTTCTCAAATCTGTCGCAATTGGGGGAGGGGCGGTGGAAGATTTTGTAGAGTTTGCCGCCCCCCCGCCGCCCCGCGCCGCGCAGCTTTGGACGGCTGTGTACGTTCGCAGAATACTCAACATTAATACCCTACTTGCCGACAGCGCATGGGACCCTTTTACTAGTATTTCTCAAGTACTTGTTTACAGAGGGGAGCGAGAAAAAACTGAAGTGGTCCAAGCCATGCTGCTGAATCAGTGATTATCGTAGTTTAAAGACGATCCAGAAATTATAATCATTAAAGACCATTTATTTTTTAGTCTGGTAGTCTAATGTTTTAATCTTCATTTTGCTGGGCAGAAAGTCAGAATACCGGACTGCCAGCTTCAGGGCCGGACGCCTAGCCAACCTGGTGACTTGGAGCTTCAGAGCCATGGCAACAGAGTCAGACGCCAAAGCGGAGTCGGCCCTCACCTCATCAGCCAATCCGAGCAAAGGCGTGTCTGAAAAACCAAACTATGCTCTCAGAAGTACTCTCGTGGGACATACGGAGGCAGTATCCTCGGTTAAGTTCAGTCCTAACGGAGAATGGCTAGCAAGTTCTTCTGCTGATAAAGTAATTATAATTTGGGGAGCCTATGATGGAAAATATGAGAAAACACTTTATGGTCATAGTCTGGAAATATCAGATGTTGACTGGTCATCAGATTCCAGTCGTCTTGTTTCTGCCTCAGATGATAAAACTCTAAAGATCTGGGATGTGAGATCTGGAAAATGTTTGAAAACGCTGAAGGGGCACAGTAATTATGTGTTTTGCTGTAATTTCAATCCACCATCCAACCTCATAATTTCAGGATCTTTTGATGAGAGTGTGAAAATATGGGAGGTGAAAACTGGAAAGTGCCTCAAGACTTTGTCTGCTCATTCTGACCCAGTTTCTGCTGTTCATTTTAATTGTAGTGGGTCCTTGATAGTGTCAGGTAGCTACGATGGTGTCTGTAGAATCTGGGATGCTGCATCAGGTCAGTGTTTAAAAACACTTGTTGATGATGATAACCCTCCTGTCTCTTTTGTAAAATTTTCTCCAAATGGTAAATATATTCTCATTGCAACTTTGGATAATACTCTTAAACTATGGGATTACAGCAGAGGCAGATGCCTGAAGACATACACTGGTCATAAGAATGAGAAATACTGCATATTTGCCAATTTTTCAGTTACTGGTGGAAAGTGGATTGTGTCTGGTTCGGAGGATAACCTGGTTTACATTTGGAACCTTCAGACTAAAGAGATTGTACAGAAATTACAAGGTCATACAGATGTCGTAATCTCAGCAGCTTGTCACCCTACAGAAAACATCATTGCATCAGCAGCATTAGGAAATGACAGAACAATTAAACTGTGGATGAGTAACTACTAAACCCTTTAGGAATCAAGTAGTAGAGCCAACTTGGCAAAAAGTTAGATATTTTAAAAGATGGTCTCTCTTAATTTTGGCATGGTTTTGTATTTCTTTTTAACATTGTCTTGAATTATGTAAGATTTTTAAACCTATAACCTAAATTTACAAAGCAAGACAGTTGGAAAAGCAAGTCTAGAACCCATGGCTTCTGACTTTTAATCTTTTTTTTTTTTTAATATGTTTATTGATTTCAGAGAGAGGAAGGGAAAGAGAGAGATAAAAACATCAATGATGAGAGTCATTGATTGGCTGCCTCCTGCATGCCCCCTACTGGAGATGGAGCCCGCAACTCAGGCATGTGCCCTGACTGGAAATCAGACTGAGGTCACCTGGATCATATGTCGGTGGATGCTCAACCACTGAGCCTCGCCCGCCGGGCAAGATTACTTATTTTTAAAAGAAGTACATTAAAATTTACCCATATTTAAAACATTAGTTTAGGTAAGATATAACATAGGTGTTCCCAAATAATAAATAACTAATCTGCTAAAATGTATAAGAAATGATGCTTTTTGATAATAAATTTTCAAGTGATAAAAATCAAAGAATTTGGTATGGAATTTGGTATCTAAAAAGAAGCTATTACTCTAAAATAAAGTATATAGACAGACATTAACATCAGATTATGAAGCTATAGGTAGACTGGTATGTTACATTTTACTGAGTATTTTATTAAACCAAGTTCCCAAACAGCTGCAATTACTGCTTTTTAATCTGTTATAACCCTCTTAGGAGACCTAGCAGGTTAAGATGGCTGTGAGGACTTGTCACCCACTATTATTTGTGAGAGAATAAATGAAATACTTAAAACAGAAACCAGTATCCACACCTAAATATGAGACAACTTGGCATCCCAAAGTGAGATACATACCAGATGCAAATGTTTATCTTTCAACACTAATAAGAAAATGCATTTGATAGACTTTCATAATTGAGTTTAGTGTAAAGGCAGCAGGACCAGGACCAGTTGGGAATTCTAAGCCATGGAGCAGAGGAGGTGACTGCTGGCCCCAAGCAACTCCATGATGCTTGGATTTCAAAGTCCTCAGAAACCTGTGGCCAGATCACTCTCATCACCTTGCCAGGACATTTTCAAGGACTGTGCTCCTAAAAGCTCTGTCTGCCAGCACACCCCAGAATGGCAAAGTGTAGTCAGTCTGCTTTCTAGGGCTCTGAGAAGAACCATGGCACTTGAGGTCAGCTCTTTAAGTTGCACTTGGGCAGTGTACTCAGCTGGCCTTCCTTCTCTCTCCAGAAATGAATACAAAGAAGAGAGAGAGAGAAATGCAGAAAAGCCATTTTGGCTTCTGGGGAGAAGTCATTTTGGTAATGGGAATTAAAGTAAGATACAGAACCTGACTCTAAAAAACAGTTAATATTAAAGTTGAAATAAGTTGTCTCATTTTTCATTTCTTTCATTTTATCAAAAAAGCTGAGAGTCTGCATTTAACTTGGACCAAAGCCATGAAATTAGACAAGTCAGTTAAGAAAATTTATTTGTACCTCTAGAGCAAATAGGGAAATGGTATGTTTGCACAAACCATTCTTTTATGAAATGGATCCTCATACCAACATTCTTTTTCATACAGGCTTGTTGATGACACATTCCTGGATTTTCAAAGCCAGCCAACATGGAGTCCTCTGCTACTCTGCTTTGGCCTTCATCGCTGCTTCCTCTCTCAGACGAGCTTTCTTTTCTAAGTTCAGGCTTGTTAAAGACTCATGTCTTTTGGCAGCCTAAAATGAAACAAATTTGAACAAGTAATTATGCCTGTTTGGAAACGATGTCATTATCTTCTACTGATGTCAGCAGATTAACGAGGGCAGTACAGGAATGGAATGGTCTGCTGCATGCACACTGGGCACAGCAGTCCCCTCTGTGTGACTTCTTCCTCTGATGCTTCACAGAACAGCAGTCCATCCATTCAAGCACTTCTCTTCCTCTCTGGCCTCATTCTTTAAGTCTTCTAGTCTCTTTTCTTCTCTGTTTTCTCTTATAATTTATTCCCTTCTTTCCCTTTTTCCTCCCTTTAGTATTAAATACCTTCTCATTTCCATTTTTATCCCTTTTTTCTTTTACTTTTCTTTGTTGCAACCATTTTTTCTTCTCCAACTTATTTGCATACTTTCACACCCTTCTAGCTCCTTGCTCCTTTACCGAAAACATTGAGCTTTGGGGATCCCAGACTTTACCTAATACTACCATCGATGACTTCCAGCAGCATCTGTCCTACTGCTCCACCCTTTGACAGCAAATGGCAGTGGGAGAGAGGCAACCATTCTCTTTCCTTGCTTCCCTCCCTGTGACCTGTTACATTATATGTGAAGCTTATATTAACAGAGCAGTTTCAAAATTGTACCAAATAAGTGACACCAGCACTCTATAAGATAGTATTTTCTTATATCTGTGTAATTTCACATGTAAAGAATTCTAGAAACCCCTATCTCCTGTTCATATGCTTCTGCAGATTTCAATCTGAGAACTAAGCATGTGGGGTCAAAAAGGGAGACAGAAGAAAAACTGGAGTGGGGTGGGAAAAAAGCTGTCACCCAGGTCTGCACACTGCCCTTCATGCTCCCATAAGGTCAGGCTACATGGTCAATATTTTCCATTCCAAGACTGAGAGCTGGAAGTTCATTTCCTTTTACTCTAGGCTCTTAGGATAAGGAGGCCAGTTACCACTGGGTTTGTAGAAAACCCTTTTTAATATCTGATAATAGACACAAGACATCTCTTTCCACAGGGAAACTGATACACAGAATTAGACATGGTTGTAAAATAAGAATTTGACCAGTGCTGCTGCATATAAAACTATTTTAATCATAAGATAGTGCAGTATGAAGTTTGGTAACTTGCAAACTTGGCTCTAAATTTCTATCTTGCCACTTATTAGCTATGTGACTTTGGAGAAATTAACATCTTTTAAGCTTTGTGTTCTTTTATAAAACACAGATAACAAGAGAATCTACCTCTTAGGTTATTAGGGTTACTGAGGTAATTAAATGAGTTTAACAGTGCCTGCTATAAAATAAGCACTCAGTAAGTGGGAGCAATTATACTATCACCTCAATTAGGTCTAGGTTCAAACTGGCCCTGCCATCAAGGAGATGTATGACCTTGGGCAAGTTACTAAAGCTTTCTAAGCGGTATTTCCTCAGCTAGAAATGAAGTCCTAATGTACCTATCTTGCAGTCTTGTGAGGTTCAAATGAGATAATAACAGTACTCGGAGGACCGTATGTATTCAATTATTGACAGCTATTATTATCTATGTTAAAGATTTCTGGGCTTGCATTCCTATGTACCACTTAGGAACTATGGCCTTTAGATATATGGCTCAGCTTGGCTGAGCCTGAAGTAGAGAACAGTGATAAGACTGCTCACCAAGATTAAAGCAGATAGAATGAAGATAAATAAGCCCATGTACTAAGAGTGCTTTATAGCCATGCCTGGAGCTACCATTAAATTTGCTGGTTCATATTTCTTTTTCACATTATTTATGACATCTGTGGATTACTAAATACTTTTTATTTTACACAAAACTAACTTAGTCCTTCCCCTTGCCAAGGTTAGGATTTGCTGTTTATCCCCAGGCATGTTATCCTAGGTTTGGCCCTACTATATCTTTTTTTCTTTTTGATAATTTCTTGCGTAGAAAGTAGCCTCCTCAGAGAATAAATATGAGGGTCAATCCCTAATTTCTTCTAGGTCCTTTGTGGAAAACAGAGAGAGGAAGTCCACTCTCACCTTCTTGCCCTCAATCACCATCAAGATGCACCCTGCCACTGTTAGGGCAATCATTACATAGCTGATCTTCACCCGCATCTTGTTCTTGGCAGCATCAAGCATCTCAAACCTAGTAATACAAAAAGATTGTGAGGGGAAGTTAACTTTCTGAAGTTGCCAGCAGGATATAAAGCTCCGTGAGCCACAAGTCAGAAGCAGAGTGGTGCCCTATAAATATAAAAAAGGAGGTGGGGCCTAGAAATCTTGTAGGACTTAAGGGAGGATGGGGTATTTTCACAACTCACTTTATATTCATATATAAAATACAGTAAGCACAGATTTAAAGTAGAAAAAAAGGAGAAGAAAGTGTAAGGCAGGAAGTGAAGCAAGGAACAAAGTCCTCTCTCCCCCCAACCCCCAAAAAAGGTAAGGCACATAAGCTTTCTATGGTGGGCCCTGATTTTGGCTCTCAAGTTTCACATTAGTAGCCAGTGTTAAAAGTAAAACCAGTAGTTGTTTCTCCTTGAGGTTCTCAAGAGGATATTATATGATATAATGATTATCTGAACAACATCCTGACAATGGATACTATAATGAGCCTCATAAGTTTTAACACGAAGCACAATTCAGAAGAAAACAAACACAGGAGAGAGTTAATGTGATTTTATATCCAGCTTTCTGTTCTCTGCCTTTAACCAGGATAGATTTAGGAATATCTGGATCAGCAGAAAGACCCTTTAAGCAATAATCCCTTAATGTTTATCTTTAATGTTTTACTGAAATTGAGTGACAGTGAACTTTAGTTCTTTCACAATACCTCTTCTAACCTGTCCACTGAATACAGACCCATGTGCCTTAACAGAAAGTTGAGGGTTGGATTATAATTCTTGTGTGAAAGCTGAGAGGCCAAACAAGAAAGAAAAGGCCCTTCCACCTTGGTGATTCTGCAGGTGGGCAGTGGGTTGAAGTTCTATTACCTGAGTGTCTGGTATAGCTTTAGGGCAGGGCATGTGGAGTCCCAATGGGCCCAGGATAGAGAACTGGGCTGTTCAGTGGGGTATAAATAGGAAATGATTACCTCTATATCACGGTATGGAATCTTTTTTCTGCCAAGGGCCAACTGGATAGTAATAACATCATTCAAGGACCATACAAAATTATCAAAAATTAGCTATAAAAAAAGCTCCTAGACGTATTGAATTTTGAGTCCCACCTGCAGTTGCCTTGGCAGGGCCAGACTAAGTGATTTCACAGGCCATATATGTCCTGTGGGCCCAGACGTTCCCTACTTCTGCTCTAGATGATGGGATTGAAGTGCTAACTTTCTCCCTGCCTCCCAGATTTTTAACACATATTACATTTGAAATCAAGGGACTTAAAATACTTTTAAAATGCTTGGGCCCTGCCCAGCTAGTGTTGCTCAGTGGTTGAACGTCGACCTATGCACTAAGAGTTTGCAGGTTCAATTCACGGTCAGGGCACATGCCCAGGTTGCAGGCTCGATCCCTAGTGGGGGGTGTGCAGGAGGCAGTCAATTGATGTTAATGTTTCTTTCTCATCCATGTTTCTCTCCCCCTCTCCCTTCCTCTCTCTCTGAAATCAATAAAAACCTATTTTAAAAAATGCTTGGGGCCCAACCAGGCGTGGCTCAGTGGTTGAGCATCGACCTAGGATCCAGGCAATCGGGGTTCGATTCCCGGTCAGGGCACATGCCCGGGTTGCAGGCTCAATCCCCAGTTGGGGGCGTGCAGGAGGCAGCCAATCAATGACTCTCTTATCACTGATGTTTCTATCTCTCTCTCTCCCTCTCCTTTCCTCTCTCTGAAATCAATAAAGATATATTTTTAAAAAATAAAAAATGCTTGGGCCCTGTCCATTGTGGCTTGGTTGGGCATCAACCCACATACGAAAAGGTAGCTGGTTCTATTTCCAGTCAGGGAACATGCCCAGGTTTCGGGTTTGATACCTGCTAGGGGGCATGCAGGAAGCAACCGATTAATGTTTCTCTCTCTGCCCCTCTCCCTTTCTCTCTAAAAATCAACAACAACAAAATCTTTAAAAAAAAACTTGGAAGGAAGCACAGGATTTGAGATGCTGCAGGTGGTAGGAGCAGCACCCTGAAAACATATCTACTGTGATGTAAGACCTGGGGCCCAGAGAGGCGGCAATGTGCACAGAGTTCTCCAGGCATTGAAGTTGGGCCTGTAGGTAGGAGGAACCAGGGACAACTGCTCAGGACAGTGAGTTGCTCTATTAAGAGCATCTAAGATCCCACCAACCACAAACTACCCATATTGACAATATTTTATGTAAACTGATATTTCCACCTGAAGTGCTGTGATCTTCATGAAAAGTGATACAGTTTATATCTAAGCGATCTGGAAATCACCTACAAGGCAAACTAAAGAAGGTGTTTCACAGCAAAGTCTATAGAGCACCTATTAGGGCCATGGGTATATACCAGCTTGTTTTCTGCTAAGATTTTTAGGAAGAAATTGGGACAGGCAAGAAATTGATGTCACTGATATTTCCCAGGAGAGTACACTGTCACTTGAGCAAAGAAGGCCAGGGCTCTCCCGCTGAAATAATTTTTCCTGATTTTTCCTGCTGAAAAGAATATGCTACTTAATTTGACATGTAAGCAAAAGGACTCTTTTTTTAAAGCTGTTGTAAACAGAAGGCAAATACTAGTTATCTTCCTGGAAAAAGATACCCTGAATGAGCCTAGATCTTTTGCAATCATGACCTGAAACCAGAAACCAGAAGGTGCAGGAATAGTTTTCTTGCCAGAAGGGAACATCTAGGAGCTTTGTCGCAAGTTCTGGTCTCTGAAGAGGATGATACCCCACAGGGGAGATGGCATCTATTTCTCAGAATCTCTGTTGGCCAAGATGCAAACCAATCAGTGGAGCAGTGGTTCTCCACTGGGGGTGATTTTGCCCTATGGAGGGAAATTTGTCAATGTCCAGAGACATTAAAAAAAAAAAAAAAAAGTATTGATTTCAGAGAGAGGAAGGGAGAGGGAGAGAAAGAGAGGGAAACATCAATGATGAAAGAATCATTGATCGGCTGCCTCCTGCACGCCCCCTACTGGGGATTGAGCCCGAAACCCAGGCATGTGCCCTGACCGGGAATTGAACCTTGATCTTCTGGATCATAGATTGATGCTCAACTGCTGAGCCACGCCAGCTGGCTGGAGACATTTTTGATTGTCATTAATGAGTGCTATTGGCATATATGGGGTGAAGAGGCCAGGGATGCTGCTAAACATCCTATGTACAAGATAGACCCCAGCAACAAAAATTATCTGGTCCAAAATGTCAACAGTGCTGAGGCTGAGAAACCCTGGGTTAGAGGAATCTCTACTCATCATCTATAGACTCTGAAAAAGTCCCAAGATCTCAGCCAGAGCTGGGTTAAGGAAGCTGGTGGCAGGAGGCACTCTTTCCTGGATCCCAGAGAGAGAATATGTTGCTTTTAAATATTTTTATGCCTATGTCTGAACACTTGAGTGAATTGTATAGACTATAGTTATTGTCACTGGTACCTAACTCATACACCCAGATTACAAGAACCTAAAAAGAGTGAACATCACTGTTCAGTCACATTTCTGTAGCTAGGAGAAATCAATTCAGTTGACTTCAGAGTATGCTGTTCACTAGGCACTACATGACATATCAACGATAAGACAGACTGTCTAGCCCTGTTTTTATACCAGGTACTTGATAAAGAGGAAACATTTAGAAAAGTGAAAACTGTTTTAAAATTTGGTTGAAAGGTTTGAAATAGTTAGACTCAGAGGAACTGCTTTTCCTTTAAAACAGATCAGTGAGAAACAATAGCTGCTTACAACCCTAGGTTCAGCACTCACGAGACAGTCTCTGGGATCTCATCTTCCTTTTTGAAGCGACCCGACCATATCAGGATCTTCCTCTCCCAGTCCGTGGGTCTGTGCAATGGCACCCTGTGGCTGTAAGTGTCTACGAGAAAAACAAGGCGAGGTAGCTCACTTATGTGAGATTACGACTCAAATTTAGCAACAAAAAAATGGTACTTGTGCCATTTTAGAGCTACTGGGTCTAAATTTATATCACCTGAGTAGGTTTCATTACTAAGTCTGGAGTACAGACAACCATCAGCGAGGGTGAGGAAGAGAAGAAGGCCAAGGGCTGAGCCTTGGGCATGGCCCAAGAAAGGGGACAGGAGAAAGAGGCAGCAGGGGAATGGCCTCTTTGGAATGGCCAAAGAGGACGAATAAGAAAGGGACAAACCCACAAACTGGAAGAGGGAGTCTTTTACAGAAAGGTGAAGTCATTGAAGAGAAGGAGCAGAAAAGGTTAGGGAATCACAGAATGTCAAGGTTAGAAGGGACCTTGGAGACAATCTCATCCAAATCCACATACTGCCTACACCTTTCTTACAGACGGACCTTCTCCTTGACTGTTACCTGCGTGTCACAGTCACTCCCACCTGCATATCTTAGTTTATGCTGTTCCTTTCACTTAAGCAGAAGCCAACAGCAGAAGAACAGGAAAGTCAATAGGAAAAACATCCCAAGAACCAAGGTGAGAAAAGAAGTTTAGAAGTATAGAAACAGTGCCGTTGTAGTTTTATCTAGAACTTCTAGCACTTGGCACAACTCTCACTAGAGTATTTTTCTTCTCATTTTAAGTACTATATACCCATTATAGACAATTCAAAGAGTAGAGATGTGAAAAAAGAAAAAGATAAAAACCATCCCTAATTCTTTTGTTGCAGCAAAATTCCTCTATTTTTATTTTGGTGTGTTTCCTTCATCTTATCCCCATAAGTATCTATGTATGTGTCACTTACATCTGTATGATGCTTGTGCTACACACAATATAAAGTTTTTTATCCTGCTTTGCTCATTAACATTATAACACTTTCATGCTAGTACATGGTATTTATAAGCACCATTTCCAACAGCTGCATAATCTCATCAAGTGGATCTGACAATAATTGATCATTCCCAGATTATTTGACATTTAGATTTACTTCTCATTTTCCTATTTCATATATTTCATATAAAAAGTGGAAACATCTTTACACTCAAAGCTTTTCCCACATGTAGGGATTATGCCTTAGGATAGGTATCCAGAAGTGAAACACCAGGTCAAAAGGTATAAACATTTTTAAGCTCTTGATAAATATATTTTGAGGATGGTTCCTTTTTACTCACCAAGACCTGCCTGACCCAAGTGTACTCCCAGGAAGAAGCAACAAGCAAATAGTTCCCAGGACCCTACAGTTTATAAATTATACGCCTTCTTCCTGTAGTGGTGACAGTGAGAAGGGTTTGAGTGAGGGACAGGACTACACATGGCTGAAGTTAATGCCCAAGCCAGAGCTTAGCCCAAAACATCATTTCTTGACTTGGTTCATCTTTGGGGCTCCTTAAAACATATATTCTAGACTACTATTTACTTTGGTGCCTCTATTCTCCAACAAAAAGTGACAGTCTAATCTTTGAGGCAAGAAATAAAAATGACAAATGAGGAAAATGAAGAAATAATTGATACCTGTGAGCACAGCCAATGGTAGTACAATTTGGGAGGCCTGAACTATGTGACAGTGTAATGTAGTGACCACCTGTCCTTTAGGTTCTTTTGATTCCAAATTGTCCTACTCTTCAGGAGCTGCCTAGTCCATAATTGGAAAAGCTAACAAAAACTTACGGGATGGAGGTTTTGGACTTTCCTGTGGTTTGGTGCAAAATCCATTTATTCTCTTCAAATCAGAGTTTCTGGTAAGCCTCAGAGATGAGGAAGCCTCACTTTCACATAACCTGAAACAATTTCCTACAAAAGAGAGAAAAATGTTTCAGAGAAAGAAAAGCTGTTGTCCCCAAAAGAGAAATGACTGTCAGGTATATATTTCATTTAACAAAATTAACTCATTTAGAAAATCAACACATTACTCCCTATATAAGATACATAAACTATGTTTAGGGGTGCCATGCTTGGTGTCGTTTTAAAATATACATGTGTTGCTGACTAGAAAATTAGGGATTTACAACATAACATTTATCAGCTATAAGTTTTATAAAAGTACTTCTCACAGGTCTTATCATAACAATAATGGTTCTGGTAGAAATATTATGTATTATGGCACCCGGCTGTTTAGGTAAAGATTAGCAACCTCCCAGACATGATAAGCCAAGATGCCAAGATGCCAAGTTGCCAGTACTATTGGGGCCAACTCTGGGTAGGGCACTGCAATGGCAAGGGGCTCTGGAAAGCTTTGTTCCTTCCAAGTCATAATTTGCCAATTAACAATCAACTTTAGCCCTGGCTGGTGTGTGCGGGAGGCAACCAGTTAATGTGTCTCTCTCACATTGAAACAAACTGAATTGTTATTTGATCATAATGTGATGATAACAAGGAATAATTTTTTAGTAATACCAGTGGTATTCTAGACAGGATTTTGAAGTTATTGTTTCAAGATGCATACTGAAGTATTTATGGAAGAACTGATATGATGTTTGGGATTTGCTTTAAAATAATTATGTAGGGAGTAAGGAGTGGGTGGGGTTCAAATTAAACAATATTTATTGGCCATGTATTGATATTGTTGAAACAGGGTGGTAAATATATGGAGATTTTTAATACTTCTCTGCAGATGCCTAGAATTTAGATTTAAAAAATTACCAATCTAGCTGGTGGGGCGTGGCTCAACGGTTGAGCATCGACCTAGGATCCAAGAGATCGAGGTTCGATTCCCAGTCAGGGCACATCCCTGGGTTGCGGGCTGGATCCCCAGTAGGGGGTGTGAAGGAAGCAGCCGATCAATGACTCTCTCATCATTGATGTTTCAACTCTCTCTCTCCTTCTCCTTCTCTCTCTGAAACCAATAAAGATATATTAAAAAAAAAATTTACCAATCTACATATTTATATATAATACAGTTTTATATATTTATATGTTTGTGTGTATAGTTTGTCTTTTTAAAAATACCTTTATTGATTTCAGAGAGGGGGAGGGGAGGGGGAGAGAGATAGAAACATCAATGATGAAAGAGTCATTGATTGGCTGCCTCCTGCATCCCCCCTACTGGGGGTCAAGCCTGGAACTGGGACATATGCCCCGACCCGGAATCGAACCTCAATCTCCCTGGGCTGTGTGAGTAGTTTTAAAATTACACATAACTCATGACTACATCCAAAGTTGATTTTTAAAATTGATTTCAGAGAGAAGAAGGNAAAGAGACATGAGAAACATCCATCAGTTGCCTCCCACATGAGGATCAAACCCACAACTCGGGTGTGTGTCCTGATCCGGAACTGAACCCGCCACCTTCTCATGTACAGATGACATTCGAACTAACTGAGCCACACCAGCCAGGGCTAAAGTTGATTTTTTTGTTTTGTTGTTGTTGTTAATTCTCACCCAAGGATATTTTTTTCCATGGATTTTTATAGAGAGTGGAAGGGAGGGGGGAAAGAGAGAGAGGTGAGTTCAAAAGATATACAGGGACAAATGAGAATGACAATACGACATATCAAAACTTCTGGGATGAAAGCAGTAATGAGAGGGAAGTTGTATAACTGCAGGCCAATCTCACGAAATGAGAGAAATCCCAAGTTAACAACCTAACATTACATCTTAAAGAACTGGAAAAAAAACAAAAGGAACCCAAAGTCAGCAGAAGGAAGAATATAATAAAAAATAGAGCTGAATTAAATGAAAGAGAACAAAAACACTATACAAAAAATTAATACAACAAAGAGCTGGTTCTTTGAAAAGATTAATAAAATTGTCAAACTCTGGCCAGGCTCACTAAGGAAAGAAGAGAAAAGACATATAAACAAAATCAGAAATGAAATAGAAGTCACCACAGACATCACAGATATATAAAAGATCATACTAGAATATTATGAAAGACTATATGCCACCAAATTCAATAACCTAGAAGAAATGGATAAGTTCCTAGAAATATGTAATCTTCCTAGACTGAATCATGAATAAATGGAAAATCTAAATAGACTGATAAACAGGAATCAAAATCATCATCAAAAACCTCCCAAAAAAATAAAAGTCCAGGACCAGGCTGGTTTCACTAGTGAATTACACCAAACATTCAAAGAAGATCTGATACCTATCCTTTTCACTCTTCCAAAAAATTGAAGAAGCAATACTTCCTAAAACATTTTATGAGGCCAACATAACTCTGATACCAAAACCTGGCAAGGCCCAGCTGGTGTGGTTCAGCGGTTGAACATCGACCTATGACCCAGGAGATCAAGGCTTGATTCCTGGTCAGGGCACAAGCCTGGGTTGCGGGCTCGATCCCAGGTAGGGGATGTGCAGGAGGCAGCTAATCAATGACTCATTGATGTTTCTATCTCTCTCTGCCTCTCCCTTCCTCTTTCTGAAATCAATAAAAATATATTTAAAAAAAAACAAACCTGGCAAGGATAACACTAAAAAAGGAAACTACAGACCAATATCTCTAATGAATATGGATGCAAAAGCCCTAAACAAAACACTAGCAAACTGAATACAACAATACATCAAAAAAATAATACATCACGATCAGGGGGTTCATTACAGGGGAACAAAGGTGATTCAGTGTATGAAAATTGATCAATATAATACACCACATTAACAAAACAAAGGATAAAAATAATGTGATCTTATCAATACATGCAAAAAAGCATTTGCTAAGATACATCCATTTATGATCAAAACACTCAATAAAAGGGTATAGAAGGAAAGTACTTCAACATAATAAAGGCCACATACAACAAACCCTCAGCCAATATCATAATCAATGGTGAAAAACTGAAATATTTTCCTCTAAAATCAGGAAGAAGACAAGGATGCCCACTCTCACAACTCTTATTCAACATAGTTCTGGAAGCCCTAGCCAGAGCAATCAGGCAAACTAAAGGAATAAAAGTCATCCAAATTGGGAATGAAGAAGTAAAAGTATCACTTTTTGTAGCTGACGTGATTCTGTATATAGAAAACCCTAAAAGCTCTACCAAAAATAAAAAAATTTTAGAAATAATAAAATACAGTAAACTTGCAGAATACACATCAATGTACAAAAATCTGCTTTCCTATATACTAACAATGAAACTCAGAAAAAGAAATGAAAAAACAATTCCTTTTGCAACTGCAACCAAAAAAATAAAATACCTAGGAATAAACTTAACAAAGGACCTATATACTGAAAGCTACAAAACACTATTAAAAGAGATTGAAAAGATACAATTAAATGGAAACATATACCATATTCATGGATTGGAAGAATCAACATAGTTAAAATGGTCATACTACCCAAAGCAATATACAGATTTAATGCAATCCCCATCAAAATTCCAGTGTCATTTTTTAAAGAAACAGAAAAAGTCACCAGATTTGTATGGAACCACAAAAGATCCCAAATAGCCAAAGCAATCCTGAGAAAAAAGAACAAAGCTTGAGGTATCACACTATCTGACTTCAAAGTATACTCCAAAGCTACGATAATCAAAACAGCATGGTATTGGCAGAACAGACACACAAACCAAAGGAACAGAATTGACAGCCCAGAAGTAAAACCACTGGTATATGAGCAAATAATTTTAGACAAGGGAGCCAAAAACACACAATGGAGAAAAGAAAGCTTGTGCAATAAATGGTGCTGGCAAAATTGGAAAGCCCCATGCAAAAGAATGAAACTAGATTACAGTCGGTCCCCTTGTATAAGAATTAATTCAAAAGGGATCAAAGACCTACATACATGTAAGATTAGAAACAATAAAGTACATAGAAGAAAACAGGTACTAAACTTAGGAACCTTGGTTGTAGAGAACATTTTATGAACTTGAGACCCCAAAGGCAATGGAAGTAAAGGCAAAAATAAATGGATGGGATTATATCAAACTAAAAAGCTTCTGCACAGCAAAAGAAACTGACAACAAAACAAAAAGGCAGCCAACAGAACGGGAGATGTTATTTGCAAACAACAGATAAAAGTTCCTTATCTGACATATGATTACATATATTTTCTCCCATTTCATGGGTTGTCTTTTCACTATCTTGATGATGTCCTTTAAGTACAGAAGTTTCTAATTTTGATGAAGTCCGATTTCTTTTTCATTGCTTGAGCTTTGGTGTCATATGCATGGTCACAAAGGTTTACTCCTATGTTATCTTCTAAGAATGTTAGTTTTAGCCTTAACATCTAGGATTGTGATTATTTTCTTTTTACCCTATTTATCTTTAAATATATATATTTATTTATTTCACTTTTTAAAAATTTTTTAATTTTTAAAATTTTATTTTTGTTTAAAATATTACAGATGTCCCTTTTTCTCCCCAATGACCCGTTCCACCCCGTCCCTTCCCCC